CCCTGGTACCCATTGGATAGGAGGTTGGGTGTACCCCAGAGCTGGTCTGGACAATGTGGAGAAAAGAAAATTCTTGACCCTACTGGGACTCGAACTCCAACCCCTCAGTCATCCATCCTGTAGCCATTTGCTATACTGACTACACTATCCCAGCTCCCTAGTGGGACTGAGAAAAATAATAAAACTTTCCCTGTCAAGAGTATGTCTCAGGGCTGAGGTGTGAACATCCTCTATATAAGCCACAGATGCTAACCACTTGACTGCAACTTCTGTTCACATACTGTGTATTTAACAGAGACAGTAATTAAAAACAAAAAATGAACACTTTGGACATTCACTACCTCAGAGGTACTAAGAATGGGTACCCAAGTCTTTAAATGTACGTAGATAAAGATTACTTTAACACTGTTTTCCTTTATGAGTTAAATATTGTAAATACTTACGAAACCATTTACTGACTAATTACAGTTAAAAGTACTCTTTTTAAGTATTGAAATTATATGAAATAAATACATGGAGGCCACAAAGGAAATAACATCTTCATGATATTCCTCTCACACTGTAATAATACTGATATGCTCTGTGTATGCAACATCATGTAACCCCACTTCCATTCTCATATCACTTAGAAATATATGTATCTCATGTGATGGAAAACGCACTACAATACAGATATTAAGGTAACAACTACCTCACCCTCTCTGCAACCTAAATATGGAATGTGGAATTCCATAACAGTTGCCAACACAACAGATATTTCTACACCAACAGATATTCAAGAATAAGGAATTATCTTAAGAGACTGACTTCCTATTCACTAAACATATAAAGCTTCCAGTTGTGTCTTTGCATTTCACTTTATACCATCTATGTGCAACTTCGGTTACTATTCACTTGTTTTTCCTTCATTGATACTACATGTTTCGGCCTAACTGGCCATTTTCAGGTGTAATGGCTCTTGCAATTGAGGCATCTGCTGCTCACTGTAAAGATGCTTTAACCCACACAGCCAGCTGTAATTCAAGGTATCCACATATGAGAAACACAACAGCATTATGGTGAGCAGCAGAGTCCTTCATCACAACAACCTGTATGCCTGATGATGGCCAGTTAGGCCAAAACATGTAGTGACAATAAAGAAAAATGAGTGAATAATATCCAAAGTTGCCCATAGATGGCATAAAGCAAAACACAAAGTCAGAGCTATGCAGTGCAACAGGACGCTGCAATATAACATTATTCTAGTTGTGTGCTGTGAAGCATTCAGTACTCGGACTTCTGTCTTCCTGCCTGCTGTCTAAAAACATAAAGACTAAAATATACATAACTATAATTTTGCCTGTAGTTTTGTGTGGCTCTGAAACTTGGTCTTTGACATTAAAGGGAGAATGTGGGATGTGGGTGTTTGAGAAGAATATTTGTACCTAAAAAGGATTAAATAACAGGAGGCTGATGATAATTGCATAAAGAGGAACTTCATAACCTGTACTCCTCACCAGATATAGATGAGATAGGTAGGAAATGTAAAATGCATGAGAGAGGGGTGCATACAATGTTTCTGTAGGAAAACCTGAAGGACAGAGGCCTAGACATACATAGGATAATATTAAAATGAATCTCAGAGAAAGAGGACAGGGGATATGGGCTGGATTTATCTTGCTCAGGATAGAGATCAGTAATGAGCTCATGAGCACAACAATAAACCTTCTGTAAACTGCTGTGAATTTCTTAAGTGACAGAAACTATTGGTTTCTCAAGAAGGATCTGGCTGCATGAAGTTAGTTGTCTGCTGTGCCCCTTGGAGGTAAACATAATATTTCCCCTGCAAATCATCTAATCCATCACACAATTGTAAAAATTTCACAGAAAGTTTCAGTAGAAAGACTCCAATCTTACACTGATGCCATGGTGGTTGGTTGTAACTAATGCTGTCATGTATTAGGGGTTTGCGTAACTTGTAGAAGGGATTATGGATTTGACCATAGAATTTACTGGACCTTTCTACAACTTATTACAACATTTCACAAATCACTATCTTCAACTGGCCACTTTTGACTTCATTCTGAACAGCTTACAGGCATACCACAATTTCTTTTCTGAGAGCTGTGCTTGGTTTCATCTTCCTGTGGTGACTTTTCTCCAACTGCTCCCACTGCTCCCTTCTTAAGGTGCCAGTCTCTCAAAGTGTATCACCATCATCCCTTTATTCCCTTTTTTCTTCCCCCAAATGGTGGGGCAAATCTATCAGAGTGGCCAGTGCTCCCACATTCTCAGCTATTCTTACTCTAAAGCTCTGAGTAGGCATTTCTTCTGTTTCAGAGGGGGCTGACCCCTCCACAATGTCCAGTTCCTAATTTTTTGTAACCTGACAGAAGACCTGGCTGCTTGCTGCTGCCCGAAGAATCCGCCAGATGTCCTCTTGCTCCTTGCTAGCTTAGGTCTCTGTTCCACATGCCATGGTTGCATTCTGGTTTTGGCCGATGCCTCCTTCCGAATGTCTGCCTTTTAGAAGTTCCTTCTCCTTGCCACGTCCCCGACGACAGTAACCTTTGCACTGTTCCACTCCTGTATGGTGGGTCATACCTCTGCAGGCGGCAGCCAACTTCTGACAGACACCACTGCCCTCAGTCCGTTCCTTCAGCTCCCTGCAGTATCCTACACCTGATTCCGGTCCTTATGCCACTTCTTCAGTGCTCCAGTAGGTATCACTGTGGCATGCTCCTTGGGGACCTCCCAATATTCTGCTCCAAACTGCATATCTTCTGCATCTGCCTCCATCGTCTCTGGACTGGCCTCCATCTTTTATAAACAGGACATCATTCTTTCATGACTGGCTTCCATTGTGGCCATCAACTCTTTATGGTCGGCCTCTATCTTGGCTTCCAACCTTGTCATCATTTCTTCTGCATCAGCTTCTATTTTGGCCAACATTTTTACTTGGTTGGCTTTCATAAGTTCTGATGCTTGACCCAGGTTTTCGATTTCTGTAGTATGCCATTGTAACTACACAATGCACTCTTCAATCCTATAATCGATCAATCCAACCCATCCCACTTCTGACACCAAAATGTCATGTATTACAGGTTTGCATGACTTATAAAATGGGTTTCGAATTTGATCAAATTTATTCGACTTTTATGCAACTTGTTACAACATTTCACAAATCACCACCTTTGACGGGACACTCTTGACTTCTGACCACACTACACTAAACCACTACTCTCTCTACTACTGTTCTGTCCTTCTTACAACCCCTCAGCACAGACCACATGGAAAACACAATCTTTATATTTTAAGGAGGCGTGTTTACTAGCCCATTACCTAGCATGCACATGCTTTGCGGGAATGTGTTTACTGAACTGTTGCCTAGCAATGGGTATACAAGTCACAATACTGACAGCCAAGTCATCATACCAAAAATCTCACTCATCACACATTAGCTATTTCTGTAAGGCTTCCTACTGGAGATATTATACATTCTCAAAGATGGTTTGGACAGACATGACCAAAGACAGGAATACATGATGGATGGAAGTGTAGATACAACCTAGCATAAGCAGAATAGGAAAATGTACATCTCTGTATATATTCTATTAAGCCCACTTTTATTTAAATGTAAACACCAGATGTTGAAGGGGCTCAGTAGTGAAAAACTAAATTCATCTGACTGTAATATCTATAAAAAAAATAAAAGAAATGCAATCTGTCCACACTGAAAATGAATTTGTGTTGTACATTAGTCATACTGCTTCATTCCACAACGACTGTATGACTAGAATATGCAAAAACATTCAATTTCACAAAGCAGTAACTCATATGATACTCATAACACTTCATGACACATTTCACAGGCATAATGTCTCACACCTAAAGATACCCTGCTGCCAGTTTCAGTTTTAAAAACACAACTTTCTTCATCGGTATAAAATTAAATAAAAACTTCCCCAAGAGCTGCAAATGCAGGGAAAAATCCCCTCCAATGCTTCATGGCTATGTAGTTCATTTAAAATGCCATCAGACGTCAAATAAAGCATACTTTGTAAACACCAAACATTTTGACACAGAGTTAAATGAAAACTCTGCTACTAAGATACTGCTCAAAATGCAACACTTAAACAAAATTAATCATAATATGTACAAGTAATGTCATACATACATACTATGTGACTCACATAACACATGTGATCAGTTGGCGAGCTATGTTGGTGGTGGGGGGGGGGAGAGTTGTAAGCTCAATGTCAAAGGATAGGGGCAAACTTATACAATCCCAAAAGTGTGGTATAATTTCAAGTGTTCATGCACCTCCGCATTCATTTACATTCTGAACAGCATGATGTAGGGAAATACATATTTAATTACAAAGAATTATCACTTATTTTTATTATCAGCAAGGTATCACTTTTCTGAATTTGAATCCACCCCACCAATTGTAAGAGCTGCTTACTGACCATTATTGATTCCTCAACAATGGGACTTTTGAAAAAATAAGTCAATGTATCCTAGTATTAAAGTGGCTAAGGCTTTCTCTTCTGTCATTATTTATGTCAGCAAGTAGTTACAAATAGGAGCAGAGGACACCAGCAATGAAGACATGCTTTTCAGTATTATAGTATTACTTTGCTGAAAAAGTTTCTCTAGATAACATCACCGTTTAGTGTATACTGTTATTCTACAAACTTCAGTACCTTAGCATAATTGTAGCTGTCTTCCCAGAACTTTTCAAGTTATCGAGGATCGGTATTTTTCACAAATTTTATTCTCAACAACTTCTTATTGAAATTTTAATAGCATTTAACATAATTAAATATATAAATAATGAAAATATTCTCTCATGACCAAACTTTACTCACAGCTCTTGAACACATACACAATCAGTCCCAGTAAGACAATTCCAAACTATCAGCAATCCCATTCCATATCAAGTTTAGAGAATGAGGAGGTGCTGATATCATTTAGTGTCTCCACAGGAGTCCATTTGTTAGCAGCAACGTCACTTGTAAATGGATCCACTGTCTGCAGAGTCAATGGTTCCACACTGTTCTCAAGGACCAACCTGTATAACAGTAACCATTTCATTTAATCTGTTCTTGCATTATGATTACTGCCTGGTGGAACACTATGACATGGTAAACAGATGATAACATTTCAGGGCAAATTCTAAAGGGTTCTGACAATGATGCATAACACTCAGAAGTACTGTGTTTGCAAAACGTTGTGTCTTCTAGTTTCCAGAATACCAGACAATGTAAAAAGTAAAAAAAAAAAAAAAACCACAGTAATTCTGGGTGAATATTTCAGAGGAATGTTTGTACCCATCTATCAAACTCCACTGTGTCACATTCAAGAAGACTGAATCTTAACACTTGCTGCAATAAGAATAACATGTTATGTATTGATGCTGTATCAACAGCAGTTGTTTAGCACCAAACCATATACAATGAATCCATGGGTGCATATGTGCATGTCAGCATCCATGGCTATATGGGCCTGTACATAAATAAAAGTACAAAACCATGTGTTTAAAACAGTATGAAATTATATATGGACAAATACCGTCTTAAGTGCAACAATTTTATTGTAGTTTTTACTTCTTTTTCCTCCTCCACACTACATGTTTCGGCCCTAAATGGCCATCATCAGGTGTGTATCACTCACGTAACTGTTACACTGCTTGTTAAAAATGTAAAAATCCCAGTCTTTCTAATTGTATAAAATCTTTGTTAATCTACACGCGTCGATTTGATTTTTAAAATTAGCACTTTTTAAACCTTAATTCAAGTTAAAATGTCTATAAGATCTTTGTTCTCTTTCTTTTTCAAATTAAAATTTTTCAGGGTACATGCCCTATATCTACGGTGCTGCAGCGGCCACTTCTTGTTTTTATCGCTGTTCATGTGTTGTTCAGTGTAGGCGCTCTCTGTGTGTGTCGCTGCTTATCTTTAATACGTGTGCTCTAAAAAATCAAATTAAAATTAAAATTAAAATTTAAAAAATCAAATCGACGCGTGTAGATTAACAAAGATTTTATACAATTAGAAAGACTGGGATTTTTACATTTTTAACAAGCAGTGTAACAGTTACGTGAGTGATACACACCTGATGATGGCCATTTAGGGCCGAAACATGTAGTGTGGAGGAGGAAAAAGAAGTAAAAACTACAATAAAATTGTTGCACTTAAGACGGTATTTGTCCATATATATTGTGTGAGTGTAACAGGATGCTGAAATATAATATAGTATGAAATTAATTAGAAACAGGCATTCATGAGACTGTAACATGGCATAACACTTGGCAAAACAACCTAGAAGAACAAAAATAAACATTGTTTGATACCTTAATAAAATGGACTTCATATGGGCCTGTAAAAATATAAAAACAGTAAAATATAGTATATATGTGCACGCACGCACGTGTGTGTGTGTGTAAAACGGCTCAAACCTGAGATATAACAAGATCAATCAAATAAAACTGCCAACCCCTATACCACAAAGGAACACCATGAAGTTATATACGTGGTAGTCATTAAGTTCGTGGAATGTGGTTTTATCACATCATATTACAAGGTATTCACATACACTTACACAGATCCACATTGGCCCTCGAAATAGTTGCCGTTGGCCGCTATGCAAGTCTGCCAATGTTGATATAGCTGTTGAAAACATTGCTGAAACATATTGGCAGTAAATTCCCATATGACGCTTTGCGGCCATTCCATGAACTTATTGACTGTGGTAGTATATTATTACTGTCATCTCCTAGGATGTCAACAGTGACCTCATCCCTTAATTTGCCTGGAAAAACTGACAAAATGAATGAAAAACCTCTACGGGAGTATACATTGTCCATTGCCTGGGATGTATCTGGTACAGCCTACAAAGTGTACTCAGAACTATTCCTGTTCTCAACAAATCAATAGGGAACTGTGGATGGGAAGAGGGGTAAGTGGCAGAAAGTAAAAGACATCATATAACATAAAAATGAATTTATCTAAAATGAAGTAAAAAGTGAAGCTATCCTTGTAAGAGGCCGTGAAGACTCATAGGGTTGTGAGACGCTGAGGGTACCAAATTATCTAGACAATCCGCTCACAGATGGCGGTAAGGTTGTTAACCTTATGCGCCAGCTGCACTTTACTCCCCAGGAAAGTTATTTAATTAATTCCTGGTACTCATTTCTGTTAGAGGCTGAGTCAACCCCGGGGCCATAGTGCAGCTGGAAAGATTAGATCACACAGAAAAAATCCAGTGACCTCATCGGGACTTGAACCCGTGACTTTCCAGCTTGTAGCAGAGGGCCTCAACCAACTACCCCCTATTTAAAACGATGAAAAATAAAAATACTACAAAAAATAAAGGAGAAAAGTGAAAATTGGGGATTGGAGAAAAGGTGACAAGACAAATTAATATTAAAATTAAGAGAGATGGAAACAAAAAATATATAAGGGGAAGATTACAGATGTCAAAGTGTACAGAAAGGTCTTAATGGAAGAAAGTGAAAGAAACAGACTTTCAAGGAGAGAAAAGAGACTGAAGGCCCTGAAAAGGATAAATACATAGCAGAGTACACGGCATCACATCCCAGCAACCATAACAGCCAAACAGACATATCACACACCTTCTCTTACCTGAAGGCATGTAGGAACATTCTGAATGGAAGCACATCCTGTCGATTGCTGTAAGTATAGTCACCCACAATCGTGTGGCCGATATCTGCACAATGAACTCGAAGCTGATGACGTCTGCCCGTAATTGGTCTAAGTAATACTTTTGTTGCTGGATACAGATCGTATAAACCACGCTGTAGCACCAACATTCGAGTATGTGCAGATCTTGGAGAGATACAGTGTGGATCTGATGCAGTGCACATACGATGATTACCTGTCTTCTGTTGACTGTCTTCTCCTATTGGTTCACATATGTCCAAAATTTCACATGCTACATGGCCACGTAAGAGTGCTAAATAGTATTTCTTTGTTTTTCTTTCACTAAATACTACTGTTGCTGCAGAACATGCTTTCTTATGCAATGCTATGCATATTATACCACTAGTTGCATAATCTAGCCTGTGTACGAAATAGAAGTCATGCTGCAGATTTGGATTTACCAAATCTGGAAATAACTTTTTAAGCTGCAACTGCAACGATACCTGACAAATAAATGCACAGAGATATATAAAAATTTAACTTATAAATTTATATTATATATATATGATATGTAGAAGACAACATAGTCACTGTATAATAAATACTGCATATGATGGTTGTATGTGATACATTTTAAGAGTATAAAAAATCAAGTATGTACAATTAGTAAACAATCGTATTCTGATAAGACCTGACCTACCTGAACTGCTGGATCATCACTGTTTATTACAACATCGTGCCTCTTATTTATCACTAAAAAATTGTGACTTCTATACAAAATGTCAACTTCATTCAATGGTGATACGTTCAGAGATTTTCTAATCTGTTCTCCTGCGACAACCGACACCCTTTCACGCCAAATATGATCAAATTTATACATAAATATTCTTGTAACAATTTCTATTATATTTTCCATCTATCATTACCTGCAAATAAAATCAATTGCAAATAGCCTTAACAATGCCATTTGAATGTCCATGACGACAACACAAATATTAACACCTCGCTTTCATAAATCATACCTGAAAATATAAAAAAAATCTCATTATATATAAACGTAAACACGCCACATGGAATCAATCACGTTCCCTGGGCAGTATGTTAGTATCTCTTCATTCACATTTTCAACTCACAGTAATTTAAAAATGGGTTTAGTCTGTTGAAAAAGTGGTTGTGTATAATAGAATGTTTATAATTTCATTCAGACTTTGGCTGAATAGCATAATTGTTAACTCTCTCTTTGCATTACGACCAATTCTTTAAATTTTTAAACACCGATCAATACCTCTCTTTAACTTTAAAGATCACGGTGATCACGGTGCTGCTGGCTACTGTACATTATAAAACATAAGATTATCGGGGAACTTATTTTGTCCAATATATTTACGTTCTACATCACAATAAACAGCAGTAATTTTCTACAACAGCGGGCATTTGTAACGAACACTCAGCGTATTTCCAGCGAGGCAGAACTTTCTTTACGGCGTATACCACGGATACGAATAACGAACGTTATTGTCACAGATGCAAGTTGCGTCAGTGGCCAAGCGGCTAGCCGCTCTTTGTCGCGCGCGTCCGTTAGTTGTATTAGTGTATATGGTGCATAACCACTAGTGGCACGGCTGCAGAGTCGCTCGCGGCCAAATATTCAACTGCTGGCTGATAACCCATTTACGCCCATCGACGGTGCTAGCCGCTCGCGACTAGTCGCGTCAATGTGTTATCAGCTTAAAACATCTACCATAGACGGCTCATGTGTGGTTGCGTCCGTGGCCACGCATGATATTTAATACATACCCATACATATTACAATAAAATTACAATTACATATTACAATGCCATAACACTGAAAACCTTATGTACAGTACTTACTGATGCTTACACACAAGTCAAAGTCAAAGTCTCATTGCGACTGACAGTCAGGTGTCAAGGCCCTTTTGGGGATCATGGGGATCATGACCAGATATTTATTACTGTTTGACAGTCTCTCTATTGTTGAGGTTGTTTACCAAGTCATTGCTTGGCAACAAGTTCAAATACGTATGTTACAATATAATGAAGTCGTGTTACAAATATTCTCAATTTCCCAAGTTACTTGATCTCATTTGTCCAAATAAATTGCTGTACACTGTTTTCAAGTACTTGCAGTTTATATCCTTCCTCTAAAGTAAGTGTTCACATTTTGTAAACATATAAAACAGCCCATAAAATGGTTGTTTTATATTACTGTAGATATGTAAAGTTCAGATATTACTATCACTAATCTGCCTTAAATCTAGAGTAGTAGTAAGTTATTTTTCTTTCCCTCACAAGCTATGGTTTTTATATCTAATTTTCACCCTTACAAATTTTCAGCCTTTTCCTCAGTAATAGCACCTTGCAGCCAATTGTTGATCGACAGGCGTACATTCTTCGGGGCATGATTGAATCAATGAAAGAACTATTACTGAGAAGGGTATCACTAGCAAACATATACTGCTAATTGAATGGTACATTGCTGATTTGAGATACTAGCAATTCTGTAAATTTTCTATGACAACTGCATGACATCTAAGACAATTCTAAAAGTTTGTTTTTTAGTTTTTCATTGATTATGGATCTTGAGTTGTATTTTCTAAGAACAAGGTCACTATTATTTGGCATTACAGAAATTTGTACTACCACTTTTAAGGTGAAATGAAACGGTATATTGATATTGAGGGTAAAATGTTATCCAGATTTTCAGGTTCATGAGTCATGATTTGTTAGAATAGTTCAACTGATTGTTACTACGACCTTATACTAACAAGAGCGTTTCTAAGATATGTTTACAGAACAAGGAGTCATCATCATTATCATATCATAATTGATGAGACTTTGTTCATTTATTTCTCGATTTATTCAGCCCATTCAGACACAAGTATAAATACTGATTCAGGGGTCTTTTAACACCTGCAATTGTCACTTCAGTGTTCAGAGCATAATTACAGAGAAGTTCAATTTTATGCAGTTTCTTGTTGGGGGGGGGAGATGCGAATTTGAGCACTAAGCTGAGAAAATGTTAAAATGAGGACATTTTACAGTAATATTATTGACTTTGGATTACTGAAACTGAATGTTAAATGAGGAAAACACAGTGAATGGGGGGGTTCCACTGTATGTGACAAATTTCATGTAATAGCTTCAATAACATTGATAGGTTTTTCTGCATTGCTGTCATTTTGACATTTGTACTGTAAAATAAAAATAAAACCTTTACATGTTATTAGATCCTAATATATTTTTACTGAAATTCTGTCTGCAAGCTACCCAAAATTTGTTTGGTCATCCAGGTGCAGAGAAACTTGCTTCGCGGCAGCTATTAATGAATTATTGGTTGGATGTTGAAGGGAAATTATAATGTTTCCAGTACAAATCTGTATGGCCTAAGCTGATTCATGGATTGTCTGTCTCTCCTGCCTGCATGAACAATTTTCAGGCAGTTCTCAGCTGATTTCACATATGAAACTTAACCATATACAGTTACCAGGTCACCTGGAAGAATATATCCTTAGCATCAGACTGGCCATGAAAATAATTTGAAATATCTACTGGTCATGATGTCTTGCTTCACATCTCCAGAGACATGGAATTCTTAACGCTTCCTTTTGCCCATTATAACATCAGATCATTGAAATGAATTCTGAACACATCAACCTTTAACATCCGAAGTGCCCCGTTCAGGCCAGTGATGAGTAAGGTCATCATGGCCAAAGTACCCCGTTTCGGCCAGTCAGGCATTTAAACTCTGCTAGTGGAAGTGCGCACACACGCTGCTAGTAGAAGCTCATGCACGGTCCTAAATATTTATTTTTAAATGTAGTAATTACCAGACCAACTTGAGTAAAACCCTAATAGAGGAATTAAAATGATACCTAAGTGAACAACAACAAAGAGTATATGTATGTATGCCCAAACTCATCCACAAGCCAGTACTTTTATTGCAGATTCTGCAGATTAATGGAGGCCCACAGTGTTGTGAGATGTTGAGGTTCCCACATTTCCTAGACAATCAGCTCATAGATGACAGTAAGGTTGTCAGCCCTATGCGCTGGCCTCCCTTTAGCCCCAAGAAAATTCCAAGAATATTCCTGGCACTCATTTCTGTTAGAGACTGAGTCGACCCCAGGGCCATAATGCGGCTGGAAGGATTAGGTAAATTGAAAAAATCCAATAACCTCATCTGGATTCGATCCTGCGACCTTCCGGCTTGTAGCTACAAAGGTAGTGTGAAATATGTAATTCTTGACACTTTCATAGCATGCATGAGCAATGTGATCAAATGTGTTTTGTTGTGTAGTTCTGAATATCTCCATTCTGTCATAATCTTGGTATACTGTCATGCTCCGGAGACTTACTGGAAAACCCCGGTGAATGTTGAAAGTTATGGGAGAGAGATGATCTGATCACACTGGTGGTACAGTGGCACAAGAGATTGGATATATTCTTCAAAGTGTACAAAAGAAGATGAGTTTAGCAGGCAAATCCTGGCTTTTATAAATTTGCATAGATCCCAAATTGTACATGAATATCAATAGTTTGAAAAGAAAAATTGCAAACAAGGAATTTTGAGTGTATTGCAGAATGTAAGTGTTCAGCAGTTCTGATAATTGTACTACATGCAAAAGTTAGTATAACATGAGACATTTTGGATAAAATATCACAGGTTGGTGGGAACACACCATCTTGCAGACACTTTCCTAACACACCTCCATCCAACCTATGCTATTCCATTATCACAATTATCTCACATTATCCCAATATGATGCCATCCGACTTAACAAGTGGATGTACAGTAGCTTCAAGGGTGAGGGCACACCAAGGAAACTGGCAACCGCAATACAACTGCAATTTCCAAGAAAAATGGCAATTTCAAGCAAGAAAAATGGCAATTTCCAGCAGGCAGCTGGTTTCCAGATTAGCAGGTGCATACTGAGGAAGCTTATGTTTGATTAGTTGCTCACATCATCTCAAGCAAGCATGTTTGCCCGCCAATTTCGTGCGCTTCTTTTCTGTTATGTCAAGTAATAATACTGATCCTGTCATAATACAGTGGTGTTTGAGACAGCATAAGAGGAGAAGTCAGGAGAAAAGGAAACATTGGCTATATCCATTTTTTGCGACAATTTAAACTCAGGTGCTAATACTGTTTTGAAAGAACTTAATCAGGATCCAGAACTGTTGAAATCATTTTGCAAAATGAGCATTGAAAGTTTTTCTTCATTAGTGGGTCTTGTAGGACCTTAAATTTAAAGACAAGATACAAATTTTCACAGTTGTGTCAGCAGAAGAAAGACTACTAATTACTCAGGTAAAGAAAGTTTATCTTTTTATTGTTATACATATTCTGCAGATCTCTATAAACAAATACAATACCACAGCTAGACATTTTGTCTTTACATTGTTTGTTACAATCAGTTTATGTCATCTGTGCCATTCAAATGAGGGTCAGTGTTCCCTATTTCCTCTATTCTGTTTCCCAATAAGTTATCACTGATTGGGAGCTATCCTTTGTTTTTCGAAGAGACGTTGTATGATAAAAAGCGGATGTTTCGCTCAATTCTGTGAAAGATTGGTCACTTTCTGTGTCTTCTAATAGCTCATCCATTAAATTCAGAGCTCCAATTTTAAATGTACGTTTCTGCTTAGCAGTCATTGATTTCATGTCTGGGAGTAGGCTGTGCAAAAATTCTGCATCAGGGTCTGGATTTTTCAATTGACTCTTTTGCTTCATGTAGTTCATGTAGCTCGTATCAACCGGATCCAAGGCAGTTAGCCGATGTTGTTTGCCAAATAACCGTTGCCTACAATTGTCTTGGTTTCTCTGACAAGAAGTTTGTATCACGGTAGGACTATCAAATGGTGTGATATATTGTGGAACATTTTCATTTGGCACTTCATTCATCTGAGTGTCTTCTTTGTTTTCTCCAGATAATGATGTCTCTTCTTCTGTGTGTGGAGCTGTCAAATTGCTTTCCTGGTGCCTATTTTTCGTCATGTGAGGAATCATGAATTGCATTGCATCATGAAGATAATATGGACGTTTTTTTTTAGCAGACGACCTAGAAGATGTCTTATCATGCAAATGGCGAGCAAATACTGTTCTTATATGTTTCCACCTCTCTTTACAGGCTGTGACTGAAAAGAAGATAAACAGATCTGACAAACATATAGCGTAAAACAATTTAGATGGTTTAAAGCAAACTACAAATAAAGCACCAACTCTTTCACTAATGGGACTGTAGTTCTGATGTTATTTTGTTTTCAGGTATTTGGCTATGGTCAGCAGTTTCGCAGCATTTAGTTTTCAGTTTATGAGGGGAAAGAGAACAATTTCTGGCATAATAGCAGACACTACATCTGCAATATGGATGACATTACAACCTGTGTCCATGCCACCACCAAACAAATCGAAATGGAAACTCATTGCAGAAAGATATCTTCATCTTTGGAACTTGCCGAACTGCAGAGCATCAACAGATGGGAAACATGTCCACATAACACACTTTCCTAAAACCGGATCACTATACCTCAATGACAAGGGCTATTTTTCAGTAATACTACTGGCACACGCAGATGCCAATGTCCTACTTACTGCTATCCATGTCGGAGATGTCAGCAAGAACAGTGATGGTTCTTTGTTTAGGGCCTCTACTCTCAGAGAGATGCTGGAGAAGGAAGAACTTCACATTCCATTTCCAACTTCTCTACCACTGGATGACAGCAGTGAAACATGTCCCTACTACTTCATAGCAGGTAAAGCATTTCCATTGAAAATAACCCTAGAAGAATGCTGACTAGTAAAAGACATATATTTAATTACAGGCTCTCTCATGCACGAAAAAGTGTAGAATGTGCATTTGGTATACTAAATGCCAATTTCAAGATATTTGAGGGGCCAACGTGCTGCAAAGAAGAAACTGTCAATTAAGTCATCAAAGCATCTGTTGACCTCCACAATTTCATCTGAACCCAGGAAGGGCTGTTTTGTGAAGGAGCTGAAAATTATGTAGTTGATCAATCATCATATTTTAAATAATGATGATGATGATGATGATGATGGAAGGCAAAGGCTCAAGAGGGCACAGCTCCTATGATATCAGATGGCTGATTACTTCTTAACATCAGCATGAACAATTCCATCTCAGTGGAATTATATTAACTGAATTTAGCTGATAATTGTAAAGGATGAGAACTAAACCAACTGCTGACTTGTATCACAAAGCATGGGCCATATTGTAGTATTTGTTTGCAGTGTTTTAGCAGACATATGCTGTATCTGAATCATATTATAAGTTCTGGTTACAAAATATAGACGAGGGCACACCAAGGTAACTGGCAACCTCAATTTCCGAAAAATGTCGCTGATTTCAAGCAGACGGACACTGAAGAAACTTATGTTTGAATAGTTACTCAAATCATCTTAAGTGGGTAAGTTCGTCCAAAGTAATGAATGGTTGCATTTTTTAATTTCGTGCACTTATGCAGTGGAAGACAATAATACTGACTGTGCCATAATATGGGGATAGCTGAGACCGGTTGAGACGGTGTGAGTAAAGAGGGCAGCCATAAGGAAAATATTTGGATTTTAATTTGTTTTAATTAAGGTAAATTTATATTAAACATGGAATTCTGACACACATTACAATTTCAGTAAGACAGAAGACACTTCATGATGGTCATATATAGTCGAACCATTGGGAGAAGCGTGACTATATATTAAGTATTTAAAACGGAAATATGTGTTAAATAAATGATATATTAATGCAACAGGCTACTTAAATATTAAGAAATCACTGGGTGCATCCATTCTTCTGTAAATTTAAACTGAGGCGCTTATATTGTTTCGAAAGAACTTAACCTGGATCAAGACTCCATCTCATGAGAAATTCTTTCCCTAGCCAAATCTATTTCGTCCTGCCTAGAGTAGTCTGGATGGCGTTTGTCATATATACCAGCCTCTTGCTCAATTAATGGCACAAAAACAAAATCAGCAGCTTCCTGAAAATTTCGTGCCATCCTATCAGACAAATAAAACACTGACGCGCCTTACTCAACAGCTGACACTAATGAACCACGCGACAAGATAAATGTGCGATTAAATTGATCTGTTGTCTGGAAGTTGAGTTTCTGGGTCTTTCTGCGAGTTGCGTTGCCGTTTCCCTAATTTGCGCTACTCCATTCAGTAACATGTGTTCAACTCAGGTTTATAACAATTCTCGGAAATTGCGGTTACCAGTTTTGTTGGTGTAACCTCGTCCTATATATGTACGTATACATAAACACATACCAGGCTCCTGCATCTCATGAGAAATTTTTTCCCAAACCAAATCTGTTTTGTCCCGCCTAGCATAGTCTGGGTGGTGTTTGTCATATATACCAGGCTCTTGCTCAATTAACTGCACAAAAACAAAATTAGTAGCTTCGTTGAACTTTCGTGCCATCTTAACAAACAAATGAATCACTGAACCACGCAGCAACGCGATTGTGAGACGACTGGCATGATCCGTTACCTTACCAGGAAGTAAAGTATCTCAGTCTCTCCGCGAGTTGCGTTGCCGTTTCCTCAATTTTCGCCGCTCCAATCACTTTGTTCTAGCTTTGATGCCATACCACAGGTTTGAGCATTAACCAGTCTGTTATTTTTCATGACAGAGAGCTGCAAGACGCGACGTTAGGGTGACCTCAAATAGCATAACGATCGTATGACATTTCCATCGCGTTAGGAACTCACTGACGTGGTTACGCGGTGGTACATTGCCTAAACAGCATTTCCTAATTGACCGATTGTTAGGCCCTAGGGCAGCCATATCCAACGGGTCGATCGCGGGACGATTTTTGGTCGATCTCATAGGCCTATAAGGAAATTATACGTGAGAAGCATGTAAATTCACTTGTAATATAATATGATACATCATGCGTCGTGTTATTTTTACCAATTTCTTTGCTTAAGGCGAGGTAGGACGATAGGAGGGGATGGTAGATCACTGGCAGTTTTGACACTAAAAAGTCGATCACAACCTGTTTGAAGTTGGACATTTCCGCCCTAGGGTACCAAAGAACAATACTTATTATCCACAGAAATTGAAATAATATTAGAGATAAAATTTGAATGTGATAATCAATCTGTAGATCCAGTCATATTGTAAAATTTAGATGCTGGCATCAACACACTCGACACCGTTCCCCGCTATTACAACGATTACAACGCAGAATGAGACACTGTTTATTAAAGTTATTAAATCTTCACTAGCGACATCTACGTACCCATCCGAAGAGTTACGTAGATGTCGCTACATCCATTCTGTTCCATTATGGCATCCCATAGTCGCCCGCGGCATCGTGCGTGTATAAAGTACGCGATATGACGTCAGATCCAATGCCAAGAGCTCAGTCGGCAACAAAGTTTTACCTCTCGCATCCAAACAAACCTGCCTAAAAGAAGTTATGCATATTTTTGCATTACTTTGCTATTTATTCTCACTCTTATTAACGCAACTTTCGCACGTATTTCAATAGCTGTGTATTTACACAATCACATTCTGAAAAAGAAAATAATTCTTTCTTTCTAACACAACACCATATGCATGACAGATGCAGACAATGTGACATCAATACGACGTGGCAATATGATGCTAATATTTATTCACATCATATCTACCATGAAAGTAATATATAACATAATTAGAATTTAGTATAACATGCTCATGTGAATACAAGAAATTGCATAGAACATACTGCATACTACACTTAGTATAGGCCATATGCTTCAGCAATCATAAAGTGGGGACATTTTTAACTCAAAAGTGCACTGCCAGGTGCACAGAAACTAGTTATGCATTTGTGTTAGCAGGGTACTGATAGAATCCAGAAGACAGTACACAGAACATAAAATTTATTAATTCAGAATCCGATATCTCTGTACCAAAGAGGTACAGTTCCACAGTAAATTCATAATTAACATGGAATACTGAAGGCCCAGCAACTAAAATTAATTTATTTTACAAAAAAAAATTTAAAAAATTGTAATAAAAAGTACTTTACAACAAATTGCAACCATTATCAAGCTAAGCAGTAGTTCAGCATCACAATCTAGCAATGAAACTGCAACACAAAGAGGTCTCCTTTTAACAGGACTGTTTGTATAAAAGTTTACAGACACTTGACAACAAGTTGAGAAGTGGAAAGATGTAAAACAAGATGGCAGACACAACTTCTCCACAAGGCAATTATTATTTTGCACTATATGGTGTAATGGTTCCATCAATGTGCCTCAATGTCTGCATTGCTTATGTGTTGCACACTTCTTGAACCTAACATGCCAAATATGAAGTGCCCACATCATCAATATTACAGAACACCGTTTGTGAACACATACACAGGTCCCAAGCCTCACATGTGCTGCAACTTGGACCTGAAATAAATCATACCAACTTCATAAGATGAATATTAAGACAATCCACTGTAGTTCTCAGTTTATTTAAAATCAGTGTTGTATTTTAAGATTATAAAAGTAATCTTCAGGAATAATTGTAATCACAAAACACTAGATCAAAATTTTGTTATTCCAGTCACATGTTACATGAGATTTGAGGCTCTCATGACTGCAGAAATGAAGATTAATGTCATCCAGGATGTTGGGCAGTGTAGTCTGGTAAATGGAGGCAGCAGGTTCCTTCAAAACGTTGGTAAATACCTACCAGACTACACGGTGTCATATACCAGGGGCATCAGCCTTCAAAAATATTTCCAATCACAACACACTAGATCACAAATTTTTATTCTGATGACAAAAATACACATGTGTTACGTGAAATTTGAGAATCATAATGGTGACTATGAAGATTACTGCCAAGTTCTGACTACAGCAGGCAAAGTGTTAAGGAGGGTGGGAAGACATTTTTCTTAATATCTGAATAGTAGCCACAGTTCAGATGGGCATTAATATGGCTCCTCTTCAATGCCTGGACTCAGAACAGACATGTGATCATGTGATTCTGAAGACCAAGCACTGCCAGAGATATGAACTTGGGACTGAACCTAGAGTCATGAGATATGAGGTTCTCACAGCAGTCAATATGAAGATTACTATCCTCTTGGGTGTAATTCCATGTAGTCTGATAGAGAGGTATTAAAGTTTTAGGGAAACCTGCTGTCTCCATTTTCAAGGAAAAGGATATTAGAGGAAAAAGATTTCATTTTACATCACTTCCACTAGTCTGTTATCAGACCCAGTGTTTGTCCCTCCTTCCTTGTATCACTGAACGATTTTCTCCTATATGGCACACTCTTGTACAGGGTGATTCACTTTGAGGAGGCCTCTAAATAATAATTATAAATCACACAATAATTTACTGTTGAGAACGGAAATTGGTAAGCACACGCTTTGGAGGGGGAGAAGAAGAAGAAAGGCTACCCATGTAACAAACCTTGGAGGCCCATAGGATTGTGAGACATTGACGCTCCCATATTTTCTAGACAATCAGCTCACAGATGGTGGTGATGTCGGCCTTATGTGCCAGCCGCACTTTAACCCCAAGAAGATTGCTGGTATTCATTTCTATTAAGAGGAGTCGACCCCAGAGCCATAGTGCCTCTGGAAGGATTTGGCCAACTGTAAAATCCAATGACATAATCGGGAATTGAACCCACAACCTTCTGGCTTGTATCACAGTGCCTGAACCAACTATGCTACCGCATGCATCCACATGCCTTGGTAGATGTGGAGATAATTGGATTACAGAATATGAGGCAACTGGAGAGAGGCTGATCAGAAGCTGCTTGTTTGCAATGTTGCATACAGCATGACAGGAGGAAGGAAATGGTGCAAATTGGGTAGGCAGCCAATAGGTCTGCATTGCAAAGTATACAGTGTTACCAACTTTAATTTTTTATATGATACATTATTTCAAGATTTATAATTATTAATTTAGGGGCTCATCCAAGTGAGTCACCATTTGCCATAAAAATGGAGGCAGAAAATTCCTCTGAAACATAACAGTACACACTTGCCAGGCTGCACAGTATCATACAAATGACAGCAATCTTTAGAACCTAGAATCCTCTCACTAAAAGTTCTGTCTTCTATTCCAAGACCATGAAGTTTCTGCCTAAACACAAGCCACTCATACTGTATACAGGGCCATGAGGCCCAAGCTTGGTAATGTAAACTTACTTCTTCTGAAAACCAAACATGCTGAGCAGACTCTGCTGTTTACTGCCATTCCTGCTCAGATCTGGTCGACAACAAGCCTTAGGTTTACTCTTCAGTCCCACAGACTGAGACTGACTGATACGAGATGATTTTGGACTGTGAAAACCTTCATCAACAGACACAGAATGCTGAAAGAAAGAAAAACTGGCAAAAACAAGTTTTGTGGTAGGTACTAACAATGTTTTTCTACATGTGACAATGACTGGTTCTTCATAGAATTACCAGTGTAACACTCACACACAATTCAGTGGGAAGTCTCATCACTTCTTTAAGTTTTCATACTATTAACTTCCTTGCTTTCTCCCATATCCATTTTCAGTCCTATATGTTATCAAATGATGCCTCATATTTGACACATCTCCTACGAATAACATGCACAGTCATCTATAAACCATCTCTGGTACACAGTATAGTACATTTCGCATATCCATGAGATGCAGCTCAGGCAGTTAGTTGATGGTTTCCTACCATAGCTGACTGGGTTCAGTCCCAGGTCATGTCATATGGGATATATGACAGACAGTAGGGTCTCTTCAAGTATTTCAGTTGCTCCTACCAATTCTCAATCCATCATATTCATTAATTATCACAGTCCTGATACTGACAACATTAAATAATAGCAACAACACATCAAAATAATGTTATCAGCACTCAAGGAATAGACATGATAAATTGCAAGAGAATGTTGTGCACTCATTTGTGACTAATTTCTATTCATGCAATATGTTAACACTCAATATGTTAACCGAAAATTTATGTAATAACAGTGCTAAATCTCATGCTTAAAGAACTTTTTTTATGTNGGTTGTGCACTCATTTGTGACTTATTACCTAATTTCTATTCATGCAATATGTTAACACTCAACAATTCATTGCTATGGTAACCGAAAATTTGTGTAATAACAGTGCTAAATCTCATGCTTAAAGAACTTTTTTTATGTATACAGGTGGATGTTCAATGTGTCCTCATCAATGGTGTCTCTACCTTATCGTGGTGGTGGGGTTTGAATGCTCTTGAGACCCTGAGAGTTATGGTGGCAGTAGCGTAGCTACTGGTAGGGTCACCCATGCCAGACAGGTCAAGGGGTAGGAGCCAGACGAAGAGGGATACCCTGGTCCTCTGGGTTGGGGGTTGGGCATGAGGCTAGGAACCTCATACAATAAAAACTAAATTCTTCAGAAACTAGATAATCAGCCTGTGATGGATGGAATGAACGGAAATCAACATCGGTGAAAGAGCTCAGATGCATGAATGAATGTATGAGGAGTAGGCCTTCTTGGCCCTTGCATCACGACCTACAGTGGTCTATTGTGCTTAAGGAGGTCAGATGGTTGGAGAGGAAAGATAAAGAATAGAGAAGAATAGAGGCAGACTGTTCAGGAGGCCAAAGCTCACCCTGAGCTGTACCGCCAAGGGGAAGGAAGGAGGAAAGAATAGTTAAAAGTATAAGGGATATTTGATATACATGACTAGCCTCCAGTGGTTTAGTATACTAGCCCAGTATTCAACACATTTCAAAATAAATCCATACCATTACCACTAACATAAAAATAACAATAAAAATAATAAAAATCTGTCAGTGTGACTACAACCAATTTTCTGAAGTGAGTAGAACCAACTCCTGAAATACCATGTACATCAAATATGCATCAGACAACAGATAATACTGAGGGCTGTATTTGAGCCAAGACAATGCCCTAGTGTCTCGCCCTGGCTTTTATTAAAAAAAATGATATCAAACATAAACGAATTAAGATTACTTAATTTATGACCTCTCCATTTGAGGCAGAAGCATCCACCTCTTTAAGTACGTACATTTCATGAATTGTTTATCTTTAAATTCTGTATGAAAAGCAGGCAGCTATCATTAAGTAACAACAAGAATGGCCTCATATGATATAAGCCCCAAAATTTCAACCCAGAAGAGCATGCAAGGCTGCCCAGGCACTTCTATTTTTGGAACTACACCCCTGAAAACGCACAACAAATTATTTGTACAGATTGCTCATGTTGAGAAACGAATACATAGCTGAGAAGGTCTAGTCACTGACTTCTAATCAGGTAAGCTTTCAAACCAGGTAATCTAGCATTTCCATGATAAGCATCAGTTCATAAATAAGATTGTAGTTTTCTGGGTTATGGTAATGTACAGTCTCATAAGAGACCATGAATATTTTGGAGGGACTTGCTGCCTTCATCTTCAGTGTAGAATTGACTTCTGCTCTGAAGATGCAGGCAGGAGGTTCCTTCAAAACTATGAATGGCACTAGAAAGTTGTGGCTTTAAAGAACAAAGATAAAGGCAAGCAGAAGCACCTACATCACTGATTGCAAAAGAGGCTGGCTGCTGATCAGGTGAGGCCGAAGTACCTAATTCCAGTCCACTATCAGCAGGACTTGGATCATCCACCATCTCTTCCTTCTCTTCAACCGACAGCGATGGCAATGTAGAGACACAAGCTTCATTCACAGAAATCCTATCAGTAGTCTTTTGCATTGATTCATCTTTAGGAGAAGAGTTTGTCTTCCTGAAAGGATTCTTAAAGTCTTTTATCAAAGCATCTGATCTATTGAGGGATGAGATATTCTTAGGTTTCTGGAAACCAAATTTGTTGTCAGACCAAGAAAATGCCTTTGAGAGAGATGTTGTTCCTGCTGCTGAAGTCTTGATTCTGTTACGAGAACCAGTGTTTGACTTGGTGACAAACAGTTTCTGCATGCTTGATTGTGATGTGTTGCAATCTAATAAACATTCTTTTGTCAAGGAATCAGTAGGAAGCTTTCGGCCATCTGCATCAAGTGTGGCAAGCCAAGACATTGCATTCATTGTCTTATCATCATCAGGGAACTGCCTGGTATCTGACTTGACTACACAATCTTTACTTGCAGAATCAGTCTTGTGGTAGCTTTCAACATCCAGTACACTTGTACCATTGTCAGTATTTAACATATTTGACACATCCTGTAACTGAACATTCGGTTTTAGGGTCTGTTGATCTCCTTCATCTGCAGCCTCAGTCACATGTTTTGTTCCATAATTCTTTTGCTTGCTGAAGAACCTGCAGAAACAACAAATTATGTAGGCAAGCCAGACGACTACATATTGAGTACAGGTATTTATTTATGGTTTACCACATGACACTGTAAATGACACAGTTTCTATAGTGTTTAATTGTAGGATACTCAGTAGATAATGGACTGGAATGGATGTAAAAGGATGTGGACACTGCATAAGTTCAGGTACTATCCCAGCTTTGTCTAGAGGGACCAGGAAACACCATTCATTCATTCATTCATATTTAATGTATTCAAGTAGATCCAGTTACAGAGTGAGAAACAAGTTCACACACCATTGGATATAGAATATGTCAGATATCAAAATAAATGTTCCAACCAATCATTGGAACAGTCAAAATAACATAATAAAACATACATGACACAATCACTGAACATAATAAAATGCAACTACAACAAGACCTAGTTAGTTATTGGAGAGGGTGGGTTTCCCCATGCACTTAGACCAGTATTGGTCCATTGTGCTTCCCTCTATGATATTCTACCAGTCTCTATACCCTACCGATATTGGTGCGTACCATCAGTCCCGACCGAGCCAGCAAGTTCGGCCTCTACTGGCTTGGCGGTATCTATAATGCTTCCCCCATCTATCAGAGGCATTAAAGACTACTGTTGGGCAGGAAACGTCCTTGAATTTGGCTCAGTGACCTCCTTTGGAGATATGAGGTTCTTTTAAATGCCGTAAAGCTACGACATGGGACCCACAGCTTAAAGTCCCTCAAGGAGGACTTGTTCCCTGAATTTTTCCGCCCTTAAAAATTCCACGACCTCCGCCGGGGTTGGACCCGCATACCACGAGTCATGAGGTGGGAACGTTACCTCTAGACTATGGAGGCCGCTACAACAAGACCTAAATACTAGATGCAAAATTAATTAATTCAACATCCCTTGGTCAGTTTATTTAATTGGGATTGATTTTTATAAATAATAGTTCTTTACTCTATTATGTTAGTCATTCTGTATAATAATGTGACATGACAGCTGAAAGCCGAAATGGCAGAGCTGGAGTAGATGTCCATTGCTGAGCAACAGATCAGAAATCACATTCCTGTTACAACAAATAACAGCATACCAGTCATTCCCAGGTAGCAAGTTGCTAAATATAAGATGTTTCATAGCAATGGATAACATTTAGAAAACCAAACCATTGCCTCGGAATTTAAGACATGATTTCCAAGACAACACATTCATGAAGAACAGAAATGGAATCCTTGGCGGCAGTGACTTCTATTCAGGCTGTGTGGAAGTTATAAAAGGCAGTGCATTCATGAATTAAAGTAGTAGTAGTAGTAAGCCCGTGTGGAGGCAGGGTTGAATACTTCCACCATGACCCTGCGAGTCATAGGAGGCGACAAAAAGGGAAGTCTCAAATCTGAGACAGTAAAATATGGTCATGAGTCCCAAGGTACTTGAACCTGGGAAAGATTGCACTGGCAAGGGCAACCAGCATATACAAAAGACAGACCCATCCTGTTGTCAGAGAGGGTACCCCACAAAAACAAGACTGTAACTGTCAAACAGTAATAAATATCTGGTCATGAGTCCCAGACGGGGCTCAACACCAAGACTTACTAGCTGACTGATCATCAGTCACAATGTGACTTTGACTTTGACTTGAATTCAAGTAGTAGAGATTGGTCCAGCAAAATATATGTCATTCAGAAGGAGTTCAATGTCTGAGCTGTCATAATTGATTGATTGTGATTGTAAGAAGCGCCAATAAATCCAATTATCAAATATAGAACCCATTATTATTAGTCATGCAAAGCCAGTATACATATAAATAATTATTATTAAACCTGATTTCATACTTATATTGGACTTCAATTAAGTCACACACACATACACCAAGTCCATTTCTGTATTATGACAGTCCCGTTAATCTGTTTAAGTCGTGTTTAGGTTGCATGATCAGGACTCTACTATACATGCTTTGTAAAAGTGTGTGATGATCTGTTTCAAGATAAAGTCAAAATTCAACAAATCTAACACAAAGTTAAAAATTAAAAAAGCTGGAAAATTCTGACACTCTCTCACCTGCTCTGAACTATAATTTTGTCATCAATCTGTGTCCACTTCAGTCTGCCAAACTTGCTGAGAGCACTAAACTTCCATTCTCGGCCTCCAGTAGCAGAAGGACTCGGAGAAGATCCTATGAGATCCTTTTGAGGACTATCAGGATACATCTGTTTGAAGAACGGATTCCTCTTGTTCCTTCCAGTTGTCAGGACTGGAGAAGTCAGCTCGGTGGGCAAGCTATGCTTTGAAGATGTCACCTCTGATGCAGATTCTTCTGAGGCCAGCTTCTCAGTCAAGCTACCCTGCTTTGTAGGCGTGGTGACTGGACTGTGAACCACAACAGCGAAGAAATTTAACCTATCACCTCCAGTGACATACTCTCCTGACAAGTACACCTAAACCACTATTATTTTTCTTGTTATTCCTTTGAATTTGCCCAGAAAAAAAGTTTTACTGCCTCTTCAACTTACTTCTTTAAAAGGTGTGAAGAAATCAGACATGAATGTTTTCAGCATTTGTGTCTGTATTTATCTGACATTCATTTTATGATATCACCAGTATCTAAATGATATAGTGTTGAATGGTACAATGAATAATGAATGATGAATTGGAAAGGATATGGAATAAAGTGGTCAAGGCCTAATCAAGGCACTATCTTGGCACTTGCCTGGAGGTACTGAGGAGAACTAGGAAAACCTCATTCAGGATATTTGCTATCCTTTCTGAGATTCAAAGTTTCTCAATACTAGATGCACTAACAGTTGTGCCATTTTACTCACTGTTGGCATGAAGAAAGAAAAAATGAAAACAAGCATATTCAAGGTTGGCCCAACAGATGGATTGTGGTTGCCGGGCTTGTGACACCATGTAATGTTGTAGGATGATACTGACATTCTAGAGGAACATGTTATCTCCATTTTCAGGTGAACAGGGTAGGGCGAGGAAATCATTCAGTTATGCAGGTGGTTTGTAAGGTGTGTTTCATTATACATGATTATTATGCTGGAAATAATCCATCATATTTTTTTCTAAACACAATGTTTCTGATACCGGGTCAGTTTCCATCACTGGGTGTTAGGGAGGAAAGGTTTGTACTCCACTGGGCCCTGGATCCAGTAACCAAGACTTACTTTTTCTAACAGGCCTAAGACTGTTATCGTTGTCTACAAATTAATATTCCAAAAAGCTTTCATGCAGAGTTAATCATCACAGCAAGTACACCTGACCATCAAAACTGCAATGAGGAGAGCTCTCACCTGTTCTCTTTCTCGACTTCAGGTTCATCCAACTCACAGCTATCTGAGCGTCTCCTTTTCCTAGGTTCTTCATGTACAGACATATCAAAGTACATGGATGTCAGGTCTTCATCAGGACAAGTATCTGAAACATCTGCATACAAGATGTCTGAGCAACATGAAACGTTAACAAATGGGTGAGAAATCTGAAGTTCTCATGATGTTTCAGAGGTATCTGCTGCCTTCAAAGCAGAAGAGTCCTCCGAAATGGTAACATTCTACCACACTACGTGCTGTCACATCCCAGAATGTTTAATATTTAATATTAGCCAGTGTGATGACCTCAAATCACACAAATAGGATTTGCTCTTTTGGAACTGTCTCTCAGAATTTACAACTACAATTTCTTAGTTAAAATACTGTGACAAGACTGTTGAAAGCCTGAAGAATGTGTAACAAGAAATCATCCATTGCTAGCCAATGGTAATAAACATATTCCCACAGCAACCAAACATGTTCCTGTGTCAAGAATACCCAGGCCATCACTAAGGAACAGCCTGCTTAACACATAAATCAATCATGGAAGACTTCTTGGAAGCAGTGTCTTCTGTGCTGTCTGTGTCAAGGCTGTACAGTTCCAGCTGGTGAGGAGGCAGGTTTGAATATCTCCACTGTAGCCCTACGAGTCATAGGAGGTGACAGAAAGGGAACCAAGTACCTGGGGGTATAACTGCTCCACCCTGTTCCTGAGGGATATAAATATGGGGACCTGGCCCTCTAGGTTGGGCGAATCTCATATCTGAGACAGAAAAAATACAGTCAAGAGATCCATGAGACTTGAACCCAAAAATGATGACAATGATGAAGGCCAGCAGCAACTGTAAACAACAGACCCATCCTCCTGTCAGAGAGGGTGCCCCACATCAACAAACCCACAACTGTCTGACAGTAATAAAAATGCAGTCTTGGGCCACAGATGGATACCTGACACCAAGACAGGCTGGCCAACTGACCACCAGTCATAACATAACTTTGACACTTGACTTGAGGACATAAGCATAGAAGCAGATGAATATCACTGTTGGGAGCCATTATCAAGCAATGACTAGAAAGAGTAGACTTTATGTGTGCTGTAGTTACAGTGATCTTTTGAGTGTGTAAATCAATTAAGTGTTCAATAAATGAAATTATCAATCCAAGCCCTGTGTCTAATCACTAACACAAGCAACTACAAATTCATATGGCTTCAATCAAAGATGTCTTTGACATGGCTTTTAGTCTTTACCACCCAGAAAAAAGGGAGTTTATGCCTTCCAGTACTGCAGGGCTAAAGGCCAGATTCTAGCCCATATGTAAGAGAGTATTTTGCAGGAACAGAACATTTTAAATCTCCTGGTGCCATGGAATTGGCAGCCCAATTGCAAAACAGGTTATTACCTGGGAACAGAGGAATACATATCCTCCAATATTACAGGATTTGTGGATGCACTGCTGCAACAATGCAATGTGCAGCCAATAAAAATTAACATTAGCAATTATACCGTTTCTTCCCCTGAAATTCTATTTTCCAGTTTATGAAGCCAATATGGATAAGAGGGCTTTTGAAACTGTGCAGGTTGGTTTAGCTGTAATGTGCCAGACTTGAATTTAGAGAGTAATTGGGTCTGGATTTGAATCAGCATGAGAATTCATACTTTCATGCAGTGAAAATTTAGATTGTTGTGTTCTGAATTATGGCACTGCGTTATCTGGTAGGAGACAATATACAAGCCGGGAAGGTCACAGGTTTGGTTCCCGATGATGTCATTGGATTTTTCAATTGTCCTAATTCTTTCAACCGCAATATGGCCCTAGGGTTAACTCAGCCTCTAACAGAAATGAGTACCAGGAATCTTCCTGGGGGGAAAAGGTGGCTGGCACATAAGGTTGGCAACCTCACTGCCATCTCTGAGCCAATTGTCTAGGAAATGTGGGAGCCTCGACATTTCACCACCCTATGTGCCTCCACAGCCTGTTACAGGGATGGCTTTACTGTCTTACTTTTTTGTCTGATAGTGGACAAGAGATATTACATGTTGTGACGTGACAGCTGAAAGTTGAAGCAGCAGACCCAGAAAAGACTTCTATTGCTAGGCAATAGCAGGTAAACATGTTTCCATAGCAACCAGTAAACATGCTTCCACAACAATACCTCAGCCATAGCTTAGCAACAGCCACTTAACAAATCACACAACAATGGAGGAATTCTTGAAAGAAGTGTTTCTTATAGGATCAAGTGGACAACGGTCAGTTGGAGGTCAGAGTAGGCAGTTAGCAGCCACTGCATAGCAGTGACTAGTGACCACAGAACAACAAACAGAAGACTTTATGCACGTTGCAGTTACACTGATTTAGACAGTGTGTAAATCAGAGAGGTACAGCTATTTGCAGTTATGAGTTATAGGCATTCAGTAAATCCAGTTATCAGTCCTAACCCAGTATCTAGTCATTAACAGATAAACATACTGCAACGTCTTATACCCCTGAAGATGAAATCAGTTTGTTCATTCAAAACACTGACAACCACAAGCAGGATGACACAATATCATAAACAAGAAGACCATGATCCTCAGCCCTGTTATCACCTATCATAACTTAAGTTGCTTATGGATTTCCTCATTTTCTCGAAACAATTTCGGGGATAGTAGTACCCTAGTAATATTTTATGTGTACCTCCTCTGAAGTGTCAACTGATCTATCACACATTATCATTCTGTATTATACTATGTATACATATAAGCTACACATCAACTGCAAGTTTTCATGAACTAGAGACTAACACATACAGAGCAGCGCATGAAATGATCCAGTATTTGATCTACTAATAAAATTTTTACTTTAATTACAGTACTAGAAACTAAAATACAAAAGAAAAGATAATTGCATGGAGATTTATCCTCTGTGAATCAAATGTTCATTATGACCACCATTATGTCTGGCAACTTCAACACAAACAGTGATATTGTTGATTACTCGCTGGCATATATCCTCAGTTACCTCATTGCAGGACTGAATGATTAGTGCTCTCTCTGAATGATTGCTGTTTGTGAGTTTTTTGGAAAAATCTTTTCATTAAGAAATCCCCATAGAAAGTAGTCACATGGGTTTAAATCATGATTAATCAGGGGCCAGTCCTGGCCACATGCAGAATGATCAGGAAATCGGTTTGAGATGACATGCAAGTCGAAAATGGGATGCAGAAATTCCAAAACAACATTCGCTCTTTGTGGCCTGGCTCCATCCTGCATGAACCACTGAGTTTGTAATGGCAAAACTGTAGCAAGAAGGTGAGACACAAAAGCATTGTGCAACATGTCTAAATAGTGCTCACTGTTCACTGGTTCTTAAAAAAAAATTGGCCCTAACAGTCCATGACTTGAGATGAATCACACAAGGATTCTCTGATACACGAAATCATACATTTTTAATGTTGTATTTTAGCATCCTGTTGCACTGATTTTCATCCATGATATGTATACAGTGGCCGTCTTGTAGTGCACTCAATTTCACCTGTTACTTCATGACATGTTTTGGCAACATAGTGCCATCATCAGGTGCCCTAATTATGCTAATTACTTCATTATTTAATTACTTTTTAAATACTTTTATAAAGACATATAAAGGCAAGCAATGCAATAGATTAGCGTAATTAGGGCACCTGATGATGGCACTATGTTGCCGAAACATGTCGTGAAGTAACAGGTGAAATTGAGTGCACTACAAAACGGCCACTGTATACATATCATGGATCATACATTTTGTTTATTAACCATACAATCCAAATGGAAGTGTGCCTTATCAGAAAACCAAACATCGTTGAATGATACCCCATTATTCTGAGCCCATTCAGCAAATGCCATTCTTTGATGTTTGTTCTGAACTGTAAGTTTAGGCAACACTGTCTTTTGTATGGATACAAATTCAAATCACTCTTCAATATTCACTGGACTGATCACCTGGATATCCGTAGTTGTGCTGCAGCCTTCCTTGTTGATTTACTGTGACTTCTTTGCAGTGCCACTCTGACAGTATCAATGTTCTCCAGAGAATACAGACATGAAGCTGAACAACATTTCCTCTCCAGCACTGAACCATCATTATTAAACTGGTTAAAAAGTTTAAGAATTGTTTCGAACAAAGGCACCCATCATGTTTGAAAATGGGCACAAAACCGCCTCTGTGTGACCACAACACTTTTTTGTTTCAGTAAAGAACAACACTGTTCTTTATGCATTGATCTACAGGCAGTCTTCCTTTGCCAGCCATCTTGTGTAAACCGACACAAGAGCAGGAACAGCGCAACAACAGCACACTCAGGAAGAGCAAGAATTAATGTCCATGAGATACTGGGTTACTGTGTTACAAAATATCATTCATAGCATGGTTGAATAATTAATACTATGTAAATTAAATACTGGATTATTTCACATGCCACTCTGTACAATGACTTACCGTCATGGTGTCTTTTTGACTGTGTAACAAACGAAACTTCTTTCTTGAGTAACTTGCCCTTTGTTGAAGGTCTGTCAACTTGTCGTGGATCTTGTTTCAAACATACAGATGGTACTTTGTAGCCTTGTGACCAAATGCTGGCATGTGGTGCAACTGATAATTGATTCCATGAGTTTGTCTTGACATTTTGACGCTGAGAACAAAATTATATGGATCACATTATCAAGCTATGACAAACAGCTTAAAACTAGAAGAACTAAAAACATTTACACAATGAACTATGGGCTGGACAACTGAGGAATCAGAGTTTTATTTCTTGCAAGGGAGACTGATTTTTCCTCTTCTCCATAGTGTCCAGATCAGGTGTGGGGCCCACCCAGCCTCCCATCCAATGGGAATTGGGGTTTATTTCCTCAGGGGTAAAGCAGCTGAGGAGTGAAGCTGACCACTTATCTCCATTTAGTGCATACATTTGTGGGAACATCCCACATACTTACACGCTGTTTCACCAGTCTAACAGACAACACTCACTCCTAAGTCAAAGTCATACATTGCTGGCGACGCTCATATTTATACAGCACTCAATGTCCAACCCACCTCTAAATCATCATGTGCGCTAACCAATCACACTGCTGGCAGCACTCGTATTTATACAGCACTCGCTGTCCAGCCCACATTTAGATCATAATGTGCGCTAGCCAATCAGTGCTCACAATTGCAACTGCAAGTTTCGCTCCACCCATGAAGCATGGTATAAAAGGCAGAGCCCTAAGCTCGCAATCATCAGTGATCACATTCAGTTCAGAGCAATCAGTCATCAGAGTCACCAGCTCTTCACTGCGTCCAGGCAACTGATGTAGTTGCCGCAAGTCTCCAGCGACCACGTTCTGCGACCAGGCAAATGACACAGTTGCTGTAAGTCTCCAGTGACCACACTCTGCGACCAGGCAACTAATGCAGTTGCCGCAACTCCAGCAACCGCGCTTTGCTACCTGCCGCAACTCTCCAGTGCACGCACAGTGGAACAAACGGCCCTTTTCAGTGCCCACAAACTTTCTGAAGTGGTTGTCTGTTGGAACCTCGACAATCCCACACATTCATTCATTCATTCATTTTATCTTGCATTCATAATTGCTACAACAGTAACACTTGAACAAGTCACATCAATAAATACATCATTCTTGAAATCCTTTTGCCCAGATGCCTAAAGGATTAGAATTTGTCAACAATAAATAATCACTCTTGATGTGGTTAACCTATAATTAAAATATAACACACACTATCAAAGCAGATAAATAATAAAATTAGATACAATTGTGTACTGCACATCTTCGAATAGTTGCATTGGGTTATTATTGTTACAATTTCCATGGTAGGAACCTGTTAGAATTTTAGCTTATTTCTATTGAAGCCATAATACCTAAGGACACATTTAATAGATTAAAGTACAATACTTGAATTTTGAAATGTTTAATAATATCTGTTTTTTATTTACACAATTTAAAAATTAAAAACTAACCATTGTTAAAAGTTGAGCTGCCTTGTCAAATTCATTCATTCATATTTACAACAAAATTTTAAAACTTCATACCCAGAATATCGGGTGAGTCAATATACAAAACCTAGATAATAAAACATACATATATTAAAATTGTACTTAGTAGCAGGGAATAGTATATTCTAACTCTCAGTATATTGATAAAACTCATTCATGGAGTAAAAGGAATGGTGGCACAGAAATCCTTTTAAAGTGGATTTAAAACTCTTCTCATCATTCACCAATCTTTTTATTGAATGAGGTAAATGATTAAAAACTCTTATACCTGTGATACAGACACCTTTGACAAATTTGGCCAGATTCACTGCAGGTAGGTGCAAGTTTTTACAGAACCTAGTTTTATGATCATGCAATTCACTATTGTTTTCAAACAAGTTTTTATTATTAACCACAAATAATAGTAGTAGTAGTGGTGTGTGTGTATACAGGGTGTCCCAGGAGGAATGGACCAAACTTCGGGAGGGTGTTCCTTATGTTAAAGTATGCCGATATAACACAAAACACCTATGTCCAAAGTTGAACGGTTACAGAGATAATGGCCAGAGAAGTGTGAATCTTTGACCAGCGTTGCACACTTGTTGATTACAAAATACATATTAAAACTGGCAGGAATATGTGGATTCTGTAACGTTAATAATGTACGTAACATCAAACTAACTTGTGAGTGACATGAAGCCGTAAANAGATTCTCTTTTGCATCATGAATACCTTTTTGCGTTAAGTTAGCACAGCCCCAGAAGATTATTCCATAACTAATAATGGAATGAACATGGGCAAAGTAGATTAACCTTGGCGTTTCTGTTGTTACTGTATGCTTTATATTTCTAATTGCATAACATGCCACAGATAATTTGTTTATAATAAATGTGCTGGCTCCAAGACAAAGTGTCATCAATAATCAAACCCAGAAATTTAGTCTCAGTAGCTGCAACTATACTTTTTTCATCATATATGATCACCATTGGACTTTTACAGCTATTCCTAGATCGAAATTCCAAATATTGGGTTTTTTGAAAATTTAAAGTGAGTCAGTTGGCATTAAACCAGGTATTTACTTCATCAAAAGTTCTGTTAAGTTTTGCTTTAAAGTTCAATTTATTGGGATCTGTAATTATAACACTCGTATCATCAGCATACAATACCATGTTATACTCTTTATTTATTATTTTGGGTAGATTGTTTATGTATAGTAAAAAAAAAACAGGGGGCCAAGAATAGAGCCTTGTGGGACACCGCATTTAATTATCTCCCAATCAGATATATTATCACTACTACATTTGTTACTAAGTACCAATCTCTGCTGTCTGCCTATTAAATAAGAATTGATTAATGACTTAAATTTCCTTGTAATTCTATAGAATTCAAGTTTATGCATTAATATCATATGATTGACACAGTCAAACGCCTTTTGTAAATCGCAAAATATGCCACCTACTATTTTCTTGCTGTTCAGGGCTGAGTATCTTATGAATTAATGTAAAGGTAGTTTTTTCAGTAGAAGAGTGAGATCTAAATCCATACTGTTCATCCACCAGAATACTGTTATTTTCAATATGTGTAATTAATCTATCATACATAAGTCTTTCAAATACTTTTGAAAATGTAGTCAATAACGATATTGGTCTGTAATTTGTCATTTCCTGTCTATTACCTTTTTTAAAACAAAGCTTGACTGTGGCATATTTTAATCTATCCAGAAATTCTCCATGGCATAATACAGCATTACAAATATGTGTCAATGGTGAGATTATAAATGGTAAACTTGATTTGATTACTCTACTTATTATTTCATCATATCCACTAGAATCCTTCATTTTCAGTGAGTTAATAATTTTCTCTACTTCAAAAGTATTAGTGTACTTCCATTTCATTTTCATAAATGGTTTACTAAAATTATCTCGTAGGTACATAATTGAATTACTTACACTAAGACTTATATCTATATTACTATTAATTCTCATCTTTCCACTATAGATAAAAGATAATTATTAAAAGTGTCTGCCATTTCCTTTTGATTCCTAATTAGCTTATTATCAAGCATAATAGCTTGGATACCTATATCTTGTTTAGTAATTCCTTTTTCCTTTTTTATTATTTTCCCTGTACATTTCATTTTATTATCAGAGTTAGAGATATTTCTGTTATAATATAGTTTCTTTGTCACTGCAATCACTTTAGTTAGTATTTTGCTGTACTGCTTCAAATAAAATTTAAGATTAGTATCTTGATCATGCCTAGGCAGTAGAACTAACTCTCTCTTTTTATTATATGAGATTTTTATCCCATTAGTAATCCAGTTAGTGGTTATTATTAAATCTCTCTGTCCTCTTTGAGAAGCTGGCATAGAAACATCTTAAGTAAGCGTTGAGAAAATTATTAATGAGAAAATTATTAAACATACTATTAACATTATCATGGATAAATATATCTTCCCATTGTTCCCAGCTTAATAGAAATTGAAACTCTGATATAGTATCCTTATTGATTTCTCTAATGTTAATACTTCTCCACGTTTCCTTCACTACAGTACCATTCTTAATTCTTACATATTCATGGCATGGTGCTTAATTTTATACATGTGAACAACTTTACTTTCACCTTTCAAAAAACATTATATTCTTGGCATGCATTCTGTGGTCAAGAACTCTACTCCTGCTGCTAACTTAGTTTTAACATCTGACGATAGAATTTCAGCCAACTACCATCAGTTCAGGTATATTAAACATAACTCAGACAATGGACATGTCCTATGTAACACCAGGTAATAAATTACATACTCAAGTGGCAGAGGTGATTGCATTTATCTTCAATCTTAGGTTTATTACTTTCTGACATCACGCTACAGCATTGCTCACGTCATAACTTCGAACAGGCCCCGCATTCCTAGTCAAATCCCGCGCATAGCTTGTGGTGGGAGGAGTTTCTTAACACTCGTTCTTCTTACAAACAACTGGCCGCCTGTCACTTCTCACACCCTCGAACCCACCCCCTTGTCTGAAATTTTTCTTCTGCGCATTCAAGGTTACTCTTGACCTTGTTTGAAGTTACATGACACTTGCTATACATGGTACCAATTTACAAGACGGGTGTTAAAACAGGCTGTAGTAATTATCATGGGATATCACTGTTATCAACTTCATATAAAATTTTGTCCAATATCCTCTCAAGATTAAGTCCGTATGCAAACAAAATTACTGAGGGATCATCAACGTGGGTGTCAAGGTATCAGATACTGATCAGATTTTTTGGATTTGTCAGACACTGGAGAAAAAATTGGAGTGCAATGGACAATACGTCTGCTTTTTAGACTTTAAGAAAGCCTATGATTCAGCTAGGAGGCAAGTACTGTACAGTATTCTTATAGAGTTTTGGGTACCCATGAAACTAGTTATGCTGATTAAAATGTGTTCAAATAAAACATATAGTAAAGTCCATATAGGTAAACATTTGTTTGATCAGTTTCATATCTAAACAGTCCAAAACAAGAGATGCTTTATTGCCACTGCTTCTTGACTTTGCTTTAGAATATGCCATTAGAAAGGTCCAGAAAATCCAGGTGAGACTGAAATTATATGGGACACATAAGCTGCTGGTTTATGTTGATGATGTAAATCTATTGGAAGATAATATAGATACCATAAAGAAAAACACACTAGTAAGGAGGTTGGTCTAGAAGTAGACCCAGAGAAAACGAAGTATATGTTGCTGTCTCGTCACCAGAATGCAGGGCAAATTCATGACATAAAGTTAGCTAATAGATGTTTTGAAAATGTGGTACAATTTAGATATTTGGCAATGACTATAATAAATATAAACCTCATTGAGAAGAAAAAGAGACTGAATTCGGCTAATGCTTGCTACCATTCAGTTCAGAATCTTTTGTCTTCTTGTCTGCTGTCTGAAAACATAAAAACTAGAATATACAAAACTATAATTTTGCCTGTGGTTCTGTATGGCTGTGGAACTTGGTCTCTGACATTAAGGGAGGTACATAGAGTGAGGGTGTTTGAGAACAGGGTGCTCAGGAGAATATGCGGACTGAAGAGGGATGAAGTGACAGGAGGTTGGAGAAAACTGCATTATGAAGAACTTCACAATTTGTGTTCTTCATCAAGTATAATTTAATGACCAAGTAAAGGATTATAAGATGGGCAGGGAATGAATTACCCCTCCAAAATATATTCTTCTCTTCAAGGCTACACAAATCTAACAGCTACATATGGACTACATGTAAGGACCCACCTGCTGAACCATATCTGGGTTAAAATCATCAACCTTCTGTAATGTGAATGGATTGAGATTGCCAAGTGCAAGTTGATAAGCAGTATCAGAAGGAAGCATCTTGCCAGCATAATCGGTGACTTTTTCAGAACCCTGAGGTTCATTTAGATGAACAAGTCTGCGTGACAATGGATCGAACACCAGCTGATACTTAAATGCAGCATCTGCTAGCAGGAAGTGATTGCGATAGTCTTCAGATACCGTTAGAGACTTCATATTGAGATGGGCTGGCAACCGGGACAATGCCTGGAATTAAGAATAAAGATCAGAGAGAAAATAATCCCCATATGTCTGCAATGTCTTGATGGCACAGGAATGACATTTACATTTACCTTACTCTGTGAAGCTCTTATCACCCTACATTACTACATGATACTCCTTACCCGATGAATGTCTGTATCAGCAGTCCTTAAGATGAACTTGCATGCTTTGGAGAGGCCAATGCCAGGCAAAGATGGTAAGTAGTCACAACCTGAGAGGATGCACATGTAACGGAACTTGTCAAAATTGAATTTCTCTGGCCGAGTGCCCATTGCCAAGTGCAAGTGCTCCTGTTCCACCAACAGACCATTTCCTGCTAGGTCCATCTTGAACAGAATCTAGAAGAAAAACGTGTACAGTGTACAGTAAGAATACTGTGGCATATTTGCTCAAAGCAAGAACAGTGGAGCCAGAGAAACAGCTGTTGCTAGGTAGTGGCCCATACACACAGCAGAGGAACATATCATGTATGCTGTGATGTCACACAAAAATAAAATAGATATTGCAAGTGGTGTTCTCTGTGGGTCCACACCATGCTTGTCGCTTTGCAACTGTGCGGTAAACACATACATGTAGCAGTGAATCAACATGCAACAACAGAGGAAGTGGCAGTTTTTGTGGGTGCATCCTGAGATTATGCAACAAGGATCTCACACAGCTAGAATCAGAATTTAGTTGTGTTCTGGAGTTTGCAATTGCCACATAGAACTGAGAGTTGGCAGTTGGAGATGATTGAGAAGAGATGGCAAGAAAGGAATTAGGGTGTGCAAAGGAAATTTCATATGTGTTTTGAAGTTACAGTGAGACTATTATGAATCCATTTGCCAGGAAATGACTAGTGGACTGTGTAACAGACTGAGGACTCTAGTGTTTGTAACAGTGAACTGTAAAGTATGGGAATAGCGCTGTAATTGCCTGTAGTTCTGAGTGGAGTGTATAAGGTGTCAATAAAAACAATCATCCAATCCAAACCCCATCTATAAATCACACACACCCCTTACACATAACAAAAAATATAGATATCTGACAGGTATAGTTAAGACTGTTTATTATTTAACAATTTAATGTCTATGATTTGTGTACACTACAACAGCCCCAACTACTGGTTCTTCCTACCCTTTCCATGGTTTTTGTGTGACCAATGTCTTATAGATCATATTTTTGTAATGACTTCTTTTGTTCTTCCTAACGTAATACTCATTTTCTAAAACACAAATCTAAGATCAGAAAATGAGGAAGTTTTACTCACAGCACACAAACTTATACAACAGCGTACTCAGTAAATACTTTGACAGATGACTGCTTGGGAACCCTGGTTGCCAATGGTTCTTTGGTGCACTCCATGGCCCTGAAAAGTGATGTTTGACATTGTTTCCCTGTCCCAGTCCCTACTGGCTCAGATTAGGTATTAACTTTCCCAGAGGTAATCTCAGCCCCAATGTATTTCCTTGAAACACTCACTGGGGTAATATGAAACAGCTAATTGCCTTTTTGTGTGTATTTTTGCACAGTTCTGTATGTATACAACAAAAATTTATGTATCCTTTGGTCATCTCCTCTACCCTGCAATTATGTCTGAAACTTCTTACTTTATTATTAGTCGAATTTATTTGTAATGAATCCATCAAACGTGTATGTTTGGTTTGGTCCACGCACCTTTGTGCAGCCAAACAACACAAGATCCGAGTCTTCTGTTATGACAATCTGCGCAATGTTTTTCAAGTTAAGGTATGCAAGCTGTGCATCTGCTTCATAAGGAGCCACAATGCAGTCCACATTACGGCGACGACACTCATGAATCAATGCAAGTGCCATTTCATGTGTTACATCAATACTTCGCCTCAGAAAGTTTCTAGCCTCATCTGTCCTTCCAGCCCGAAGCAGTTCAGCTGCCCGCTTCCGACTGCTCTGACGAGATCTGAAAGTATATGTAAATGTAGAATAGTGCTCATATATAATGGCAAAAAAGTTAAGTGATCATGAAAAGGCCACTCTCATAAGTTATGTGGTATACGATGGGGTACCCAAAAGAAACCGAACTAATTTTTTTGTGGGCAAAGCTTTTGTAGTACCGCGTTTTGCCGATATGAGCGCATAGAGCTAACATTCCTGAGTCGATAAGCCAACTACCGTTGCTTCAGAAGGTAAGGACTAGTTTCGGCAGAGTTTATAGTGACAACTGTTTTGTGTGATCGTCGTTTTTGCAATGGCTGATTTTCGTGAACAGCGTGCGGCGGTGAAATTCGGCTTTTTGCTCGGGAAAATTGGAACAGAAACTCTTGAAATGTTAAAAACGGCGTACAAGGACGATGCTATGGGGAAAACTCAAGTGTTTGAGTGGTTTTCCCGTTTCAAAAATGGTGAAATGTCAATTGATGACAAACCTTGTTCTGGTCGTCCTTCCACGGCCCCTAACACATGAAAATGTTGAAAAATCATCAAGGAAGATCGACGACGGACCATTGAAGAAATTGTGGAGCTGTCGGGAGTGACTTGGAGCTCAGTTCAGCGAATTTTGACAGAAGATTTGGGAATGAAAAGGGTGGCTGCGAAATTCGTGCCACGACTGCTGACTGCTGAACAAAAACAAGGTCGCGTGGAAGCATGCTGTGCTTTGAAAGAAGAGTCCCGAAATGATCAAAACTTTTTTTCAGCGTTTTGCTGATGTTGCTGAGGTGAAGGAAAAAACGACGGAGGCGCTGTCAAGCATCTCAAAAGATGAATTTAGACAATGTTTTGAAAAATGGAATAAAAGACTAGACAAGTGTATTAGTGTAAGTGGAGAGTACTTTGAAGGGGATTGAAGGTTTGTGCTTAAAATTTGAATACATAAGTTAAAAAAAAAATAAGTTCGGTTTCTTTTGGGTATCCCTTCGTATATAGCAACCAAACACTTATGCCTGGTTTGTCTGCACAGTGCTTTGATGTAGTTGTCAGAGGACTAGTGAAGCATTGCCAAATGAGCCTGAGGGTTCTGCAGTTGTGTCTCTAAAACTCTTCTGATGGAATGATAGTTCTAGTACACTAACTTTGGCTCCCATCCCATCTGGGCTATCCTGACTGAAGTTTTGCATGATATTCCTCAGTCCCAGAATATTGCCTTTATTAGGCTATGACCTCTTCCAAATCGTTTCCATCATCTATCATCCTACCATTCAGCACTATATGGTCTATCTATTAACAGGTCACAAAACAACCCACACATATCCACACAAAAGAAGAATGGCAGTTTCACTGCTTACTGACAGCTATCTGCAGATACATGAAACTTTAAATGAGTGGACAATTAAGTGGTCACCATATAATAAAGATATATCAAAAGCTTATCAAGGGTAACACCAGGGGCACAAAAATAAAGAAGAGAGAAATATGAATGAAGGTGGACATATTCCTCCTTCTTTATTTAAATTTTAAGTATGTGGGTCTATGGCCTTAAAGGCTACATTTGTAAATGGACAATAAACATTAACGGAGTTGGCAATCAAGTGTTAGCCCAACCTGAATCAGAGTTTGAACTACTCAAATGGGTTGCATGCCTAACATACATGCCGAAGTTTCTTGTTTTCACCCACTTTGAAATAATTTGCAGTATACCACTTCCTAATTTATGTTTTTAATATAAGAGGGAGATTTCGTCTTGTATGAGTCTGGTAATATTCATCTATAAAGTGAAGTTATTATGGGTATATCAGGTGAAACCATAACAATAAACAATTCACTCACTCACGGCGCTTCTTCTCAGTTGCAGTCTTTGCCGGTAAATGCTGCCCATCAAACACAAGAATTGGTTTAATGTTATGGAATAATAACATATTTATAAATTTCATACAATAGTGCACATATCTGAAACAAACACAAAATTTGCTTACCAAATTTGAATTAAGTTCTCACATATCCATTCTGGCACCACCTTGCATCAACTTTATGGAAATATATATAAATATACACAAACACACACATACAATGTAACCCTGATTCCCAAAAACGAAATCACAGTCATGATGGTGCATCATACTTATGGCCAAGATAAATGAAATATATTTTCATTTACTATTAAATACTTAAATGATGCAAGATAGATTAAATTGCTGTCGCTTCTAAAGTACGGTTTAACACACAGAATTAGATACAAATTAAAAATTCTTACGCATCACACGGTTCTCCCCTCGCTAGTTTTTCAACACAACTGTATGCCCCTTTGTGCAACCAACAATAGGCATCAATAGCTACACAACAGCCACTATATTGTCCAATATTGACCTTTCGGGTTGCTTTGTCCAAAAATGGTATCAAACCTTGAATTCCCATTGCAGATATTACAGTTAAGTAGTCTTGTTTCTTAAAGCTCCTTGAGATTACGTCAATATAATATGGTCTGACATTACCCTACATTTCTGGATACTCGTGTACGCTCAAATAGCTCATGTAATCGTATAAGCCGCCAAAAACCTTTCGCTTCACAGTTAACCAACATAAACAATTTAAATGGACGTATTGAAGTGAAAGTTTATTAGTAATGTCTCCAAATAACTGCTACATATAAACAAATAAACATTTAATTATTAGAATAAAAATAAATATATTTCTACAGACATATTATACTTAGAAAAATTAATAGATTTCATATTATAACAGTATTATCTATATTAGGGAGTTCGACGCCGCTAGCGGTTTCCCGTACTGATCTTGCGAATAGTGCTGCTCTCTGCAGTCTAAATTCCGCACAGAGAAACAAATGTATATAGCATATGTAATAATCCGTGGTGTACACTGAGTTATTGTTTTCTGTGCGAAACGAAATTGGCCTTTCATTCCAAAAAATTGAAATTTGGCAGTGGTGTACACATTATATCAAAACGGAGAAAAACAAGAAAAAACTGTCATGGCTGTTAGACGTGCATCCCATTCGGGTAGTTGGTACTCGGATTCAGGTTGGGTTAAGACTTGATTGCTGGCACTATTAGTGTTCATTGTTCTTTTCCAAATGGGGCCTTGAAGGTCATTGACCCATATATTTATTACACATGATTTTCAAAATGTTAAGACATCCCATCACCTTTTATTTCAATGAACAATATAAATATATCTTCGCACACATAAATACATAATTTGAAAACTGTGCCACTTACATATTTCAGTAACAGTAGGCACATTACAAAATTTGCTTGTCTTTTTTGCAGCTAAGGAGCTGGGAAAGCAATTGGAAACATGGCTCAACACTGCTGATCTAACGCATGGCCCTGCTAGAGCCATCATTGCTCCGTAGGTGCCCTTAAAATTTTGATATGTACAGCATAGAGATTGCATAACTTCAGTAGTTCCTAATTGCAATATATATCTGTTTTAGGCATGCTGGTTACCAGTATTGTGGTGCATGCAGTGGTTTTGCCTATCGCCAAGTTAGCCCTGTTGTAGTGTGAGTAATTTTTCAAATTTTGAATACATGTCTTCACAAAATTCAAATACAGTTCTAACAGTGACATTGATGTTTATGCACATAGGAGACGAGTGTTTATTTTGGGTCCATCTCATCATGTTCGTCTTGGTGGATGTGCCCTTTCCACTGCAACCAAGTATTGTACTCCGCTTTATGATCTGCGAATAGACACCCAAGGTATGTAATTCTAATACACTACTTTTTTACTTGTATTACAATTACATCTATCCACAAAATTTCTTTCATTAATTCTTTTATTAATCCTGTAGACCATGATACAATGATATAGGACAAGTCTTTCAGCTAATATACATTGTTAAGTTATAACAATCTTAATATTTGTGAAATCATCATTCAAATAGTCCTCCATTGAGTAATAGCACCTAATAAGAAGTAAGTTCTTCAATTCCCTTATGAACAGGTTTTTGTTTTCTATTTCTTTTATGTTGTTAGGCAATTTGTTGTAAAAGATACAGGCAGCTACTGAAGGATTACTATTATAAAGTTCTAAGTTGTGTCCATATATATGATAGTCTTTATTATGTATGTATTTGTTCATTCACTGTGCAATTACACTTTTTTTTTTTTTACATATAGGATTGATTCTTGTATGTACAGCGAGTATACTGTTAGTATCTTTAGATTTCTAAAGCTATCCCTGCACGATTCCAGATGTTTTAGCCCTGCAATGTATCTTACTGCCCTTTTTTTGGAGTACAAAAATTCTAGTGAGGGTCTTAGCACTATATCCCCATACTATTATTCCATATGATAGATGAGGATAGATCAATCCGTAATACAACTTTCTTCTTTCATTTAAATCCAGTATTTTAGATAGCCTGTTAATTATCAATAGGTTATGGCTAATTATACTGCAGGTTTTTCAATATGTAATTCCCAACTCAAGATACTATTACTACCCCCAGAAAATTTGTGCTTTCTACATTTGATATTTCCCTATTCTTTATTAGTATTTTTAGATTACTCCCTAGGTTACACCATTTGACATTAAACAAAGTAAATAATGACTGACAATGTTTGTACAAGTGAATATACATTTCATTATGTACCATCTGTTTGGCATTTGTAAATTCTGTAATTAGTTCCTTCAACACACTATTGAAAGTGATACTGTAGATTAGGTCTTTATTATCTCACCAATTCATTTGGTAAAGTTGTGAATTAGTCTGTGAACTATTATGTAATACTCAGCCCATCATAATCATTTTCTGTTTTAGTAACATATTTTGGTTTATAGAAATTGCTGAGATCAGATTCTGTAATAGGGCATGATAGACATGGTGTACTTAATTCCAGAGTGACTATTTTGAGGAAGCTATTTGCAGTGCCTTAAGATGTCATGAGTATTGCTCCCAATAATGATACATTCGTGAACCTGCACTGTACTAATTGTCTTTAACTATATATCGATAATTTTCCCATGCCTTTCTACTGATTTGGAGCATTGCCTAGTTCTGAAAACCCATTTAACCCCTGCTTGGTACCCATAACATGCATGGTCCATGTACATCACTGTTGAATATAACACAGAAATAACAAACAGTATACAGATTAACCATCTTATACATTTTGGTATGTTTAATTTTCCCAGATTTGATCCCCACATAGTGAGTCTTCTGTTTATACTAGTTGGGAACTATCTGCTTTTAAATTATCCATAAGAAAGATACGTCTCTCTTTATATTAGGCTGAAACTCATATGAGATAGAAATAATGTGACCTTATTGCATATTTCAATTTGTGTCTGCATCCATGATGTCACTGATATTGTAATGCATGCTGTGTTGTACCACAGTGTATGCTGATATGGAGGCCACTGGACAGTTTGAGTGGATGAATATGTCCATGGATGAAGATGAACACAGCATAGAAATGCATCTTCCATACATTGCCAAAATTATGGAAGAGTAAGTTGATATTGATTATTAAAGAGCTTCTGCATACTTCATTTGAAACCAAAACATTGCAGTTTGAACTGTAATGAAAGTAAGATTCGGAATCAAAAAAAAAAAAAATTAATTGGGCAGAACATATCAGGGTCCAATTAAAAGGCATTACATTACTGATAAATGCAGCCTTGGCAGTGGGTCAGGGTCCAATTAAAAGGCATTATATTACTGATAAATGCAGCCTTGGCAGTGGGTGATATTACAGGGCAAATATCAATAAAGACAAATATTTTTTATATTATATTATACTCCAGGCTAGGTAGTATCCCCTGGAAAAAAAAATTCACTCTTCTGACATACATGTACTGCTGACTTGTATAATTTTGATGTACACAGATTTCATGTTAATATGATTTGACATGATTTCTTTCCTAACATATGCTTTTGGTGAAGATTGGTGAAGCCTGTAGTCTGGTAGGTGCCATTCCAATGAAATATAGGGAAACTTCTACCAGACTTAACAGTGTCATATCCTTAGAAGAGTACTCTTCAGTCACTGCCATGAGAACCTCAGATCTCACATATATTATAGTTTCTGGTATTTAAATAAATGTATACCATACAAAAATGGGGCCTGCTCAGCCTTGTATCCAGTGGGTAATGCCGGCCCTGTCTTTGTGGGTAAAGTGTCAGGGGCATGAAGCTGACTTGTCACCTCCGTCTAGTCCCAAGGTTAATAATGGAGTTATACCGCCATTCCCCTGCATGCCTTCATTATGTAGTGCTTAATTATATAATTAAGTACATGGATAATGTTACTTTTACCATACAAAAATGTTTCAAGTAGACTACAAATTTTGTATCACATACAAATTTTTTGTATGATGAGGCATTGAGAAAAAATAGATACATTTTGATTTGGGGCTTCATGTAAAATGGAGTTATAGTGAACGAAAAGTAAATGTGCATGATGACTTAGTGTACAGCCCACAGTATCAGATTACATCTAAGTCTGTTGAGTTGTTTGAGGTGGCTGGACATGACTTTCTCATTATGTATTCATTTTAGGTGCTTTGTGCAGGTTATTCAAGAGCTGTTTCAGCACGTCAGAGTAAACTGCATACATTATAAACAATAATTTTAAAAGTAAATATGGTACATTTCGAGAATTTTTGTATTAAAATAAGCAAAGAAATTGTGTGTGATTGGTTTCAGCTTCAAGGATTCATTCACCATTGTGCCAGTGTTGGTGGGGTCACTGACCCCCGAGAAGGAGGCCATGTATGGTCGGGTCTTCTCGCGCTATTTGGCTGACCCCCAGAATCTCTTTGTAATCTCTTCTGACTTCTGTCATTGGGGTCATCGCTTCCGTTATACTTATTATGACCGTAACTGGGGCGAGATCTACCAGTCAATACAGACTCTCGATCGCACGGTACGGCAACTGAATAATATTCTTCGTATACCTCAGTTGTATAGAAATGCCTTTATTTAATGTAATATGTTCTGTGTGTTGCTGCAGGGAATGGATATCATTGAAACTTTAAACCCTGCAACCTTCACTGAGTATTTGAAAAAATTTGGAAATACTATTTGTGGGAGGCACCCCATAGGTGTTCTGTTACAGGTAAGAGTACATTACAGATTCGAGAATATGTTACAGCTTCTGTTCATACATGTGCTATCACATAGCCTGCTTTGTATGAAGGATATCTGGAAAGTAAAGATAAAAAGTCCAGAAAACATCTGTAAAGCATTTTTTTGGGGTGGTTCACTTGTAGCACTTTTACAACACACATCTATTTACTTTTCAACATATTCACCATGGATCACAATGCACTTAATGAGCCTGGGAATGAGTTTTTTTATTCCAGCATCATAGAAATCTCCCACCTGCTCAGCCATGCAGAACAGTTCTTGACACTTCTGGACATTGTTGAAGTTCATTGATGATTAAACGTCTGTCAGCACGAATGTTTTCATTCAGTTTTTTGGATGATTTCATCAGTGACAACAAATGGCCTTCCGCTCCTTATTTCATCATGTATATCACTTCTTCCCATTTCAAATTCATGATATCATTTTGCCACATTTTGCCTGTTCATAACATCATCGCCGTAAAACAAGTTGGCGATGAATTTCAGCAGCAGTTTCTCCTTTCATGTGAAGAACTCGAATTACTGCACAAACCACATTTGGCAGGATTTTGAATCAACATGGCCATTTTGCACACATCCTGCAAGCACAATGTTACCGTGACTGTGGCTGGTGAATTCAGCCCTGTCATATGGTTCCAGTCTTACACAGCAGCACTGCCATTTCTAAAGAAAAAATCCCTTACACGTTTGCTGGACTTGTATTTTTACGGACATCCCTCGTACTTTTTTTATCCATGTTAACATATTCTTTAATCAGTGTGTTACCACTTGCACTCCTAGCTAATCTGCTGTTCCCTGAGCCCAACAGTTCTGTAGCATTATACTAGTGGTTTGAAGTATTTCATGGTGAAGAAATGAGTAAGAGGAGTATTGCCTTCTGGGATGTGATGCCGTCTAGTCTGTTAGTAGTAAGGCAAGTAAGTAACCATCAGGGTGTAGTTCTGATGCTATAGTCTTGATACTCATGTCACTCAATAACGAACCAGAGAGAGAGAAGGCAGCAAGCAGTTCTGCTCCTCACTGCCTATGTCTTGCTGGTTGCTTCCTAGGCTTACCCCTCCACCCTGAGATAGAGACAGTATTTTCGTCCAAAACATCAGTGAACATCCACTGGACTACATAGTGTTCACATCCCAAAAGACAGTACCCTTCATAGTCACTGCTATGAGAACCTCAGATCCAAGAAATGAACAGTATATGATGTACACAATATCCATGGAATCGCAAAACATAGCTGCATGCACCCTCCAATGCCATAAGATAAAATTATGTGCTCAAAATGCATTCCAGAAGAGATACAGTTTGCCTGATCATGGTGACCTAGGTCAGATATGGTAGTCCGAACAGCACCAGATAGTGACCTGATGTGCACATAGAAGCAAATGTGCTGATGTTAACCACATACAAAAGGATGATCGGAGAACTTGAAGAGTCTTGGGTGTGTCAAATTGGTGGTTAATGTTAAACTGAAACCCCCATTTAACATTTATCTTGAGAGCAGTGAATTTGAACACTCAACTGGGGAATATCTTAAATGAAGGGAATTTATCACTGAGATTACGGGCTTCAGATCATTGAAATTGAACACAAAAGGAGGGAAAACCTTAAATTGGGGAACACTAAATGTGGGTTCAACTGTAAAATTTATTCTAGAGATACAGAGTATACTGCAGTAGATTCCCTTTGGATGTCCTGGATAGTGTCGTGAAGGTCTCCTTTCATCGCCAACTTAACTTTTGGGAACCAGAAATCTGTCAGAGCCAAATATGGCGAATACAGAGGATGATCAAGGACTGTGATCCCTTTCAGTTTGTGGGGTGGGGCATTGTCGTGGAGCGACCAGGAACCTTGCTCTTGATATTCAGGTCAAATTCGAAGAATTCTCGCCCACAAACGATTGAGGACTCCGAGATAATAATCAGAATTCACTGTTTGACCTTCTGGCAGAAATTCCTTGTGAATGAAGAAAACGGTTAGCAGTGTCTTTACTCGACTCTTTTGCATGCGCACTTTCTTTGGTTTCGGCTGGCTTCTTTGGGCTCAACCACGCTGCACTCTGCAGCTTTGTGAGAGGCTCATATTGAAAACACCATGTCTCGTCACCAGTAACAATCGATTTTGTATCACTTTGGGCCGACCGTGATATGTCTTTGCAGTGTTCCACTCTGGCATATTTTTCATCGCCTGACAGCATGTGCAGTACAAACTGCGCACAGACCTTTCGTTTGCCCAAATCCATGGTCAAAATTTGATGCACAGTACTTTTTGGTATTCCCAAAAACTCCTCGTTGAGTCTTGCAGAAACACATCTGTCTGATGCAAGGATTTCGTTCAATTTTTTCACGTTTTCTTCAGTGTGCCTTGTTCTTGGCTTTGATGCACGTGGAGCGTCTGCAATGTCCTCCCTGCTGTTGCGAAATACAGCATACCATCGAAAAATGTTCGAGCGATTCAAATAGTCACTACCGTACACACTTTTCATCATTTCATACGCTTCTCCGGCTGTTTTACCTAATTTCAAACAAAATTTGATGTTGGCTCTCTGTTCAACCGCCATTTTCCGACAAGCATCAGAACAGTACTGTTACATTCAAGGTCAGAACACATGCTGCAGCGATGCGCCTTGAAATTATAGACAGCCACAGCTGATACTTTCAAGAATCTAAACGCCACGACTCACTAACAGATGACATTGCAGGGCAAAATTTAAAAAAAAGAAATGAGTCCTAACAGATCCTGGACACACTATGAATGCTGCTGATGTGACTCTACTGGGTAAATATAAACACCATGAAGAAAAACACACAAACTTTAATTGATGCTATTAAGGAGGCTTAGAAGTAAACACAGAGAAAACTAAGTATACGTTGCTGTCTCATCACCAGAATGCAGGGCACAATCATGTCATAAAGATAGAACACTAATGAATCATAGTAGTTTGTGGGAAAGACATAAGTAGAAAGCAATCTACTTACATGAATGAATGAACGCACTGTCCCACACTTTGAATGAAGTGCACTAGGTTACTGAAAGGTAGTGACCCAGTCCCATAAAGTAATATCACAAGTGATGAAGTCTTTTAAATGAGCTATAGTCCTGTAACCCCACAAGATATGTGAGGATGTTCCATTTCTGTTCAGGCCTCTTAAACAAATGGGACTGTTAGTTAGTCCCAGCTTGTAAAGGGACTCATCCAGGTGACAGTGTCTTGTAAAAAATCCTGTTACCCACTCTAGCTAGTTTGACTGTTAGCGACTCCCAGTGATTTTTATGGTCCTCTCTCTCTCTCTCTCTCTCTCTATATATATATATATATATATATATACACACACACCATCCAGCAACAGCGGAAAGAACTATGTGCTGAAAGTAAATTCTGAGAAATAGTGAATAAGATATAGAAGTTTGTGATGATGGTACATAATACAAATATTATGTTTCTGGACATTGTCCATCATCCTGTTTTTATTTCAAACACGTTTCAGAGACTGGATTCTGTCTCTGTCTTCAGGTAAAATTAACTCAGTTTGGCCCAATTGATAGAGCTAGTCCTTATTGCCTGTATTTTGTCTTGTCACAGCATGTTGCTGTTTGACCTTGGTCAGGTATGGTAATACTGCTAAAGTATCAGTAAACAACTAACCCTGGATATGGAACCGAAAGCGCTAATATAAACTACAGAGAATGTCAAAAATCTCTTTGTTTGCTAACGCATGTATTTTTTATTTAGGTTTATTTGCTGGGTGAGACATGTCTGTGTACTCCTGACTGTGAGAGTTGCCTGTAATATTGATTCGTGTTCCTCAGACTGTTGTTGGTGATGCGAGATTTGAGATTTTCATGGCAGTAAATACTGATGTGATACGGTGTAGTCTGGTAAACATTTACCACTGTTTCAGAGGAGCCTGCTGCTTCCATCTTCAGGGTACCCTGTTCCTCCTAAACATTGTTACTATCTGCCAGACCACGTGGTGTCACATCCCAGAAGAGTAATTTTCATAGTACTGGTGATATCTACTATCCATGCATAAATTAAATTAAAATAATTCTTTGTTATCAGGCAGTGCAGAGCCTACAGAAATCCGGCAACAATGGTCACAAGATGAGCCTCAAATTTCTGAAGTATGCACAGTCAAATCAGTGCTGCAGCATGAATGATTCTTCTGTTAGCTATGCAGCTGCTGCACTCACATTTGAATAACGAGCGGCCTTTCCTAGCTCCCAGCGTCAGGAAATTTCACGCAAGAACTGGGGTAACCAAAACACTAACAGAGAAGAGAATAGCAACGATTATGATCTGATGCATATGGAGGCATTCGGCCATGTGTCTGCTTTCCTGAAATATTTCAGTATGAGGACAACTGGCAATTTAGAATTTAGATTATTGAAAGCTATCGCAACCAGTAGGTATGATGTTACTGTTATTGACAAATTCACCTGTACACCAAAAAACGTTACTTTTCAATTGGTTTTATTTACTGTACTTTATATGAATGTGTGCTATTTGTCAGTTGTACAGTTCATCGCCAACTTGCCTAGATGACTGCTGCCTCATATTTTGAAGAACTGACTATAGACTGGAAACAGAAGTTTCTCCTCTGGCCAGATTCTCTTCTCGTGGTAACCTCTTTAAAGCAGTCCCATGCTTGCTTCCCACATTTCTTTTGTGTCACGATGAATCAAATGATGGTAACAAGTTAAGATGTAATGCTTGGTGACACAAGAATGGTGCACTCGGTGGTTATGTATGTAAAACTGTTATTACAAAATGTAATAACACATTTTTTATAATGTAATAGAAGCAAAAGAAGAAAGTTAACTTGACTGAACTTATGTATGACAGTGAACAGAAAATACGAAAAACGTAAAAAAAAATTTGTAGTGCATTTACAATTGAGGTTTGCAATAAACCAGTTGAGCATAGCTCAGACTATTGTCTACTCCTTTTTCCCCCCCCTTAAACTATGGGGCATGTGGTAGCATAGTTGGTTGAGGCACTATGCTACAAGCCAGAAGGTCGAAGGTTTCAGTCACGATGAGGTAGATTTCTAATACTTCCAGCTGCACTATGACCCTGGGGTCAGACTCAGTCTCTAACAGAAATGAGCACCAGGAATCTTCCTGGGGGTAAAGGGTGGCCAGCGCGTAAGGCTGACAGACTCACCGCCATCTGTGAGCCGATTGTCTAGAGAAAATGTGGGAGCCTGGACGTTTCACAACCCTATGGGCCTCCATGGTTTGTTACAGTGATACCTTAACCTTTACCTTAGACTTTACATATACATAGGAGACAAAAAAGGACCATTCACAATGATTATAATAATGTACACAGCATATAAGAGTGAGTGCCAAGGAACTAATAAGGGATGCAGACAGAATCTATTTACTACTGATAAATCATCGCACCTTCTTAACGTCACATATTTATAATGTGGGTACTAATCAGAACCTCTAAAAAACAGAACTGAAAGTGCCAAGTTGATTATGTGACACTATCAGACTTCGGTTTCTCTAGAGTCTCAAGTGGCAGAGCATTCTCCATCAGTCTACAAGTAATTTGGAAAAACAGGAACAGTTTTAGCATTCATGATCTTGTATGTTGTGTTTTACCATTCAGCAAATACTGTAGGGTCTAACAGTGGGAGTAAGGATGGGGTGTATGGAACAGGCTGCTATGCAATGGGAAGGGGCTATGTGGTTAACGAGAAGGTATGAAGGAAGAGAAGTGAGACCAGACTTTACTCAGTTTACTCTTCACATCTGAAGTTGAGGGCCATAACCTCTTCCCATTGGATAAGATCATACTGCATCCTTACAGCTTCATTCCTACTGAGACATATATAAAGCTTTCCATTGGATAGCACAACACTGCAAGGCTTATATCAGGCCAAGACCTCTTCCTAGTGGACAGAACTTGCTCCGTAACCACACCTTTACCTCCTGCACTGTGAGACCATATAATGGGCTACATTCTTCAGCCCCATTCACTCTGAACATGGTAACTGGATTACACACCAAAATGTTGAACTTCAACATACAATGTGGCTAAACACCAATAGCTGACATTACACATCAGTGCTACTGATGGCTGACATTGCTGCTTTGTAATTATGAGTTTACCGATTTGAATGCCACGTGGTAGATGGGCTATATTGACACATATTTTTCATGTCTGTACACTGCTTTTCAAACAACTTCTGAGATGACACCTTGAAGTAGTATTCACCTGATTCCATATACATCCTTCACAAGTCCACACAATGACACTGCCACTTTAAATCTGAGAAACAATTGCAGTGGTATGACCAAGGAAAAATAATGCAGATGACATGGATACTGAGAATTAGGATTTAAAGGAAAGAGCCTATGGGTCAGAATAAGATGGTTCAGTCAGACAAAGGAACACACAAAGAAGACAGGAAAGAGCTGACGAGAATTCAAAAGGGAAGACTGTAAGAAAAAAATGGACACATTTTATCATCATCCTGCATAAAATGCAATAAGCTGCTGAAAGAATAATAATGACTTTCATTTGACAGTACAGTCTTCACAGTATAATTAAATACACTTCAAGTAACAATCACACAATAATGTCCAATAAAAATTTGAAACTCTAATGTGAGAGACAGTATACATGAATCTATGAGCATATTACTTTATGAATAATACTCACATGCCATGTTGCCGAGTTCAACTAATTCCAAACACTCCTGCTCTTGTGACAATAAAATGACAAGTATCATTAGGAAGATGAGGTGCAAACACAGCCTGAAGAGTCCTCACTGACACTGCAAGTGTGGTCTGATGAGGATCTCGCACGGTGTGATCAGTTCGAGACAGCTGAAGACGTGTAGTTACCATGTTTGCCCATGCCAGGCCAAGTGCTGCTACAGGTCGCTGTTTCATGTCACTGTTCGCCCCATCAGAGATAACATCTGTTACCTGAAATACATGCATACTAATTACCATATGAGATGGAACAGCCCAGTTTATTTTGTAGTTTATTAAATGATCCTGCCAGTAACTCAGAATATATGTAGTTGGATGATTGTGAATATTGATTTGGAAATGTTGTGGAAGGAAGCAATTATGGCCTAACTTAAAGCACCATCCTGGCATTTACCTGCAGGAACTGAAGAATACCACGGTAAGCCCAAAGTAGTTGGTGTCTCAACCAAGATATTAATCTATTGCCTCATTAACACAAATCAGGAGCATTACCACTTAAGCCAACTTACTTAATGATAGCTCAGTTGGTGACCAAGGAAATGGAGTTTGATTCCCAGCAGGGCAAGAGATTTTTTTTTTTCCTTTTTTCTTTTTCCTACCCAGCCTTCCGGTGGATAAGTATCAGGGTTTGTGTCGAGGGTAAAGTGGCTGGGATGTGAAGCTGACCACTGCCATTTAGTGCCCAGTTTAAAAATGCATGTTATACCTTAATGCCCTCATATGATTTCATATGCTGTTCAACCCCTTAAGCAAGTTCTTAAATTAGCACTGCATTACCCTCTCAAGTGGTACTTAAATTGCTGTGCAGCAGCACCCTCATGTGCTGTTCAAAATTACCCGTGTTTTGTAAATTATCCAACATAATTAGATTTTTGTAGAGAAATTAATAATAGTATAAATTTAATTGTACTTACACTATTTTCATTATTACCTGGTCTGAAACACATTTAGAACTAAAGGAAGCAACTATGTTTGTTGACTCTATACAGCAGTTTTTATATAAAGTAACAGATGGAAGAAGACATCATGACCTGCAGAACATGCTTCCATACAGTTTCATTATCTCTTAACAAAGAGCAGGTGTAAAGATATTCTTATGAAAGCTTGTACATGTACAACTGCTATAATGACAGGTTAGTAAGTGGCATATGTGAGTATATGGGGGGTTGAGTCCAGTTGGGTCCGCTCGGCACGGCAGCCACTGACTGGCCTATTGTACCTGCCCTGGGTGATTGTGATGATGGAGAATTTGGTGGAATGAAGATTGCCAGGGGAAACCGAAGTACTCAGAGAAAACCTATCCCAGCACCACTTGACCAGACCCAGGTTTGACGCCAGGCCACCGTCGTGGGAAGACAGCGACTAACTGCTTGAGCTATGGCGTGACCCTTTATATTGGGGGTTACTTAAGCACAGGGTCAACTGTACTTTCATCATTAGTGATTACCATATGATGAAATCCTACAACATAGGAACTAACTGAGATACTTAAAACTCTTTCAAAGACCCAAGTTCATCTAAATAACTAGTTGCACAGCCCAGAAAAAATCAGAATATAAGAAACAACATAACACTAAGCCAAAACATTTTTTTGGATTTATATAGAGTGAATCACAAAAATTTACACTGAAGAGGCCAATCCCTTATAGCTATTAACCATTCAGGGCACAGTGGTTATACATACCATCTGCTTTAAGTGGCCTCCATAGTCTAGAGGTAACGTTCCCACCTCACGACTCGTAGTACGCAGGTTCAAATACCCGGCGGAGGTCGTCGAATTTTTAAGGCAGAAAAATTCAGGGAACAAGTCCTCCGGGAGGGACTTTAAGCTGTGTGTCCCATGTCGTAACTTTACGGCACGTAAAAGAACCTCATATCCCCAAAGGGGATCACTGAGCCAAATTCCAGGACGTTTCCCGCCCAACAACAGTCTCTAAGGCCTCTGATAGATGGGGGAAGCATTATAGACACTGCTAAGCAAGTGGCCGAACTCGCTTGCTCAGCGGGACTGATGGTACGCACTATTTATTGGTAGGGTAAAGAGACTGGTAGAATATCACAGAGGGAAGCACAATAGATCAAACTGGTCGCGGTGCATGTGGAAACCCACCCTCTCTAAATAACTAACTACCATCTGCTTTAACATTCAAAGACTTGTGTTTTGCCCACAAAGTGAATGTGTTTCATATGATTCTCAGAATATACAGTGATTATTTCCCTGAACAGCATTAACTGCCAGATTTTTATACTGGAGAGGCAGTTTGTTTCTGGTGAGGCAGGAACTGAATTTTTAAATATTATTCAGATAAACTTCACGCTTCAAATGACCTTACTTAAAGTTTAAGTTGTAACACCATGTAGTTTGCAGAAATCCCCCAGTGTTTTGAAGAAATATATAATTTTCAAGAAACCAGCAATAACCAAACACCAAGCACAGTTTATTACTGGTTTCTTGTTTGGCTTATGCATCAACCTTGAAGAAGGAGGTGAATAATTTCTCTGAAACATCAATGGACATATACTGAACAACATGGTGTTACAAGGCAGTTTGCATTTTTCATAACCACTACTGTATGAACTGCAAATCCAATGACCTTAGAGTGGTCAAAGAAAGTATTTTTCAGTAACTTACAACTCACAGGTGATGTGGGAATGTTGTGCTAGGTAGAAGAGAATGGTACCTGGTTGACACATATCACAGCCAAATGAAACTGGTCTGCAAGTTTATGAAGCTGGCCACCAACCATTTGCAAGTCTTTTGCTCTATTTATAGCATCACTTGGGTCATAATCTGTTCGAAACACTCCAGCAATGGAGTCTATGACAACAAGCCTGATGTTGCGCTGAACGAGAAGTTCTGGTAGTCTTACACTCAAGCACTGCTTCAGGGTTTCCTGTAAAGCAAGGATGTCACCAGCATAAATGGAGTAAGATTACAACTTTTACAGAGAGTAACTCTGATGTTTCTTGTCCTTAGTTTACTTTGCAATGCTTTTCTAGTTGCAAAGGTGATCTAGTATTGAAATTTATTTATTTAAAGGTCATCTGATGCCATCACTAACTCAGACTATGTAGCACTGAAAATTAGAAGGAAAGTGAAAAATGAATTGAAATGACCAAGCAAGTTGGCTCAAGTTGTAACATTTCTGACATATTCAGAAGTTCCCCAATTTGGATTTCAGCCATGAAACCAACTATAGTTAGTGCCTCGTAACTTTAGCCGCATGGAAAGGTAAACACTGTTGTGAAGCACGCGAATCTGTACGCTTGCTATGGTGACATTCAGAGCTACTCCCTGAGCGGAAAACATTAGCTATTACTTCCCTGGCCTCACTATGAATTGTTCCGTGTGACTGTCGGTGTGCCATGATAGGGACACAAACACCATGTAATACAATTGCTATGACTGGTACCAACAAGCAACACAACATACTATACACTATACTATACTATACTATACACAACATACTATACTCAAAGACGGTATATTCCAAACTGGTAGTANCGACTGGTACCAACAAGCAACACAACATACTATACTCAAAGACGGTATATTCCAAACTGGTAGTACTCACACTGACGTAAACTGATAACACTGCTCCCCCAGCCCACGAGAGATGGTATGACCCCTCTACCACAGCTAGAGTTCCGAGCAACTAACAGTATCCTGACTAAGGTTTCCATGATTTTCCTATCACCTCCAGGCAAATGCCCAGACAGTACTTTTAACTATACCACGACTATGTCCTACCATGCTGGTCGCAGTGGCTGCATGGTCTAAGGCATGAAATGTCTTAGTCTGCTCAAACATTGGGATTGTGGGTTGAAATCCCACTGAAGACATGGATGTCTGTCTGTGTTGGGTAGTGGCCTTGCCACTACGATAATGGATCCCCCATCCAAGGAATCCTACTGACTGTCTTAGATTAAGAAACTGAAGTAAAATGAAGCATTTCACGCATACCCTATGCTCCAAGGGGGAGCAACTGCAATAGAAGAGGAGGAGGAGGAGGAGATTATGGTCATGATGATCATGTCCTATCACATTTTTCCAGTTCAATATTCACCAACATCAAATTGCTTGACATTATGGTCTGAGTTACTGACACTACTTTTATAAACTACACACCAGGAAATGGTCATGGCATATTTAGTGAAGAAACCTAAACTTCTTTAATAATTAAGCATAAGTATTTCTTTCATGGGTGTTAGTGAAGTAAATTACTCAAATAGTGGTAAACAGAGACAAAACAGGATTTCATGACTGTTCCTTACACGTAACTTAATGCTGAACTTATGTACAGGATAACAGGGAACAGCATAAGGCCCCCAGCTATTAAGAAAAAAAAAATCACCCAAGAGACAAATATAACAATTTCCTGTAAAACTCTGAAATAACAAATGGCTGACAGGATCTCATCAGATTGGAATGCTGGAAGCAACACATACAAGACAACTGTGAATTGGCATGAGTCCTTGCTTTCAGTGCTGGTGCAGCTGCATGACTGTTGCCAAGCAATGTACTGGGTGGCCAGATAAAAGGTATCCAAAATAAAAAATTTCTCTCAGAAACTAACGGTCATACACATTTCTGGTTTATGTCATCGGAAAGGAAAATTCTGAAATTTTTTTCCTTTCATGCCCAGCTTACGTGCATGTGCCAGCTGGTGACCTTCAGCAAGCTCAGCAACAACCACAAGAACAGGTTCAATGCATATTATAGCTAGTAGAGTTGCAATCTCTTATGGCTGTCCAGTATCATTTTAGAATGCAATATGCATGTCAATCTCCTGAACAGAAAAGCATTCAGTTCTGGGACAACAAACTGAGGACTACAGGCAGTCTGTTGCATGTAAAATCTCCAGGAAAGACATGGGCCTCTGAATAAAATGTCAATCGCATTAGAAAGGCATTCTAGCGAAGTCTATGCAAATCAAGTCATCCTGCTAGCTTACAATTATAAATTCCACGTTCAACAGTGCATGATGTGCTATACAAAAGGCTCCACCTAAGAGCATACAAGATTCAAATGATTCATGCACTAAAACCAAGTGACCAAGTAGCATGCACACACTTTGGTGTGGACATGCTAGAAAGAATTTATGCGTTACCCGATGTCCTCTGTCAAGCATGCTTCTTAGGCAAGCCAACATTCCATGTCAACGAAGTTGTAAACAGGTACAACTGCAGGATTTGGGGTAGTCAAAATCCACATGTTACATGTGAGTTGGAGACAGGCAGCCCCAGAGTGAACATATGGGTTGGCTTAACACATGACAAGTTGATTAGACCGTTTTTCTTGTGACTGAACATTCATACTTGAACGTGCTGGAGCTGTATGCACAGCCCCAAACCCACCTCAAGCTATCCTCCAACAAGGTGGGGAACCACCACATTTCTGCCACCATGGTGGGAATCACCTCGACAGAAATGGCTAGGAGATAGTTTGGCAGAGGTGGACCAATCACTTGGCCTCCTAGGTCACCATATTTAACCCTATTTGATTCTTCTTCGTGGGGTTATGTGAAGATCAACGATCTTCAACACCTGCAAGCCCATTTAAGGGATACTGCAGCTACGGTAACACCAAACATGCTTCAAGCAATGTAGAACAAGGTCGAATATCATCTTGATATCTTTCATGCCACCAAGGAAGCCCACACTGAAATTTACTGAGAAAGTTATATGCTCAGAAAAAAGCTTTGATAGTTTTCCTCTATAATGGCGTAACCCATAAATATGTATAATATCTAGTAAATGCTTTCTGAGATATAATTATTTTATTTTTGATACCTTTCATCCAGACACCTGTATTTGTTCAGTTCCACTTACATGGGCATTTTTAACCACATATACAAAGGGAAAGGTAAAGCTGTCCCTGTGCTTAATTAATTAAACACCATGCCATGAAGACGTACGGAGGAGAGAAGGTGTAGCTCCACCATTTTTCATCTTGGCACTAGATGAAGGTGAGTGGTCAGCTTCATGCCCCTGCCACTTTATAGCTGAGAAAAAATCTCCCCAGTGCCCACTGGATTGGAGGCTTCTTGGGTCTCAGAGCTGTTTGGATGCTATGAAGAGAAAATCTTGCCCTGCCAGGAATCAAACCCTGGCCAGGCAGCTTGTCGCTATAACAATTAAGCTATCCTGGCTCTACCTACACATATCTACATTAACATTTATTAGTATTTTAATTACAAGTCCTTTCATCAATATACACCATTACTTTCAGACACATTTTGTTACATTTTCCTTGTTAAATTATATTCTATCATGAAAAAATCTACCCATGAAATTATTCAAATAAAATTTTTTAATGCTTATTAATCATTCCCTCTACAGTAATTCAAAAAATAAATATGGGTACTTCATCACAGTTGGTTGAGGCACGTTGCTACAAGCAGGAAGGTCACATGTTCAGTTCCCAATGAAGTCAATGGATTTCTTCAATTGACATAATCCTTCCAGCTGCATTATAGCCCTGGGGTTCACTCAGCCACTAACAGATATGAGTACCAGGAATCTTCCTTTGGTAAAAGGGGGCTGACCAGCAAGTAAGGATGACAACCTCACCGCCAACTGTGAGCTGAATGTTTATAACATGTGGGATCCTCGACATCTCACAACCCCATGGGCTTCCACAGCCCATTACAGGGATAGATTCGACTTTTCTTATCTTTCACACCTTTATCATTATTTAGGGTCTCAAAAAGAATCATTTCAACTCTGATATAGTTAGAAATATTTTATATTTTGTTATAATTCCAAGCACTTACAACATCACCAATATGTTCAATGAAAATATTGTCTCCAAAACTGATACTGGTCTGTGACTGTGAGAATGTAGGGGGAAAACATTGGAACAGCTCTTGTAGCCGACGAGAAGGAAAAGCATCTTCAGTACAAATATAAACTGCACCTGTAACAATGAAATTGGTAACAAAGTAAGGTCCTTGTGCTGAATTAAAGAGGCACACCATGATGGCATATGGGGGAATGGAAGTATACCTCCATGATTACCTAACCTCAGAAGTAGGTGGACATGGGGGTCATGCCCCACTGTTTTATCCTCAAGGAAAGAGCCCCTGGCATCCATTTGCTAGGATGCATGAAATTGAGCAGAAGTTAAAATGAAAATGACTGTCTTCTGCAATGTGATGTCATGTAGTCTGGTAAATATTTACCAATTATTTTACCCCACAGATAAAGGTGGCAGGTTCCTCTGAAACAGTGAAACATATGTCCTAAAATGTATCGTGACACAACCGGGAAGATTAATTTAATTTAATTTTGGTTTTTACAGATATGATTTAACCCTTATATTAGATTAAGCTTGCTTAAGCTTAAGATTGCTGTCTCTTCACATCTGACACCATGTTATCTGGTAGAATATTACTAAGGTTATTGAGGAACCTACTGCCCCCATCTTCTGGGTAGAAAAGAAAATTGGGAGGGAGAAAAGTGGTACTGGTATAGGAAGATGGAGGACTTGGACTAGAGCCCTGAGCAAATCTCAGTCATGCCTACATCAATACCAGCTTTTTGCCATCGTCTTATACTTTAATCCTGAAGACGGAAGCAATAATTCCTCTAACATAGTGGAGAAGTTTGACCAGACTACAACACATCCCATTCCAAAAGTAATCATTATAATCACTGCTATGAGGAAATCAAATCTCGAATTTTTCAACATGGTGAATGTGTAGTCAGGTAGTGTGGAGTCAGATCATACATACATTTAACTTACATGAATTCAAACATACATGCTCATCACGTAAATAAATTATAAAAATGAGAATTTAAATAGCATGGACGATGCCATGCACCATGTCACTCAGCACATGCATAATCATCGGAATGATTGGTGAGTGTTCAGGTTTCCTGTTTTCCTTTTTTATTCTTTCATTCTTCCATATCTCTTTCTCTCTCTCTCTCTACTTTTACAAAATTAAAAATAAAATTGTACTGTATATTTTACTTATATGTGTACCCTTCATTATATACATTAATATATAATACATATGTGGTCTGACAATAAAGTTCACAAACTCATCACAGTAAAAGTGCTACATACCTCATTGCTGAATATCACTGTGGTTGCCTTCAAAGTACTCATCTTGGAAAGCTATGCACCAATGCCAGTGCCTAGTCCACCCTTCAAAACAATCTTTGGAACTGGTTTTGTGGAATAGCCTTCAGAGCTGCTGTCATATTACTCCTGATGTTATCAATGTCATCAAAATGCATTCCTTTCAATATTTCCTTCATCTTTCGGAATAGAAAAAAGTCACTGGGGGCTAGATCTGGTGAATAGGGAGGGTGTTCCAGCACAGTTATTTGTTTACTAGCTAAAAACTCCCATAGAGATAGTGAAGTTTCAGCAGGTGCACTGTTGTGATGCAAGACACCAAAACACACTCAGACAACAATAGATGCCACTCAGAAAGAGACTGTCACAGATTAACGACACAGCTGTGAAATGCTGATATGCCAATGTCAACAAGCAATACTGAAGTTTCTGTCCATTGCTACTATGGCAAGCACACAAAGGCATGTACTTAGGCCGCACCATAGCTTAAGTGGTTAGTCGCTGGCTTCCCACCGCGGTGGCCCGGGTTCGATCCCAGGTATGGTCAAGTGGGATTTGTAGTGGACAAAGTGGCGCTGGGGCAGGTTTTCTCCAAGTACTTCGGTACCCCTGCCAATCCTCATTCCACCAAATTCTCCATCATCATAATCACCCGGGGCAGGTATAACAGGCCAATCTGTGGCCGCCGTACTGAGTGTACCCAGCTGGACACCACCCCCCACTAGCGAAATAAAAAAAAAAATAAAGGCATGTACTTAGAGAAATTTAGGGGATTTTCAAAAGTGATTCTAATAATATATGTTGCTTTTAAAATGTAAATCCATGTAACATGTGATTCTATTCTTAAAAAAAGGTGAAGCTATCCCTGCGTGGAGGCCCAAAGGGTTGTGAGATGCCAAGGCTGCCACATTTTCTAGACAGTCAGCTCACACTTACAGACGATGGTGAGGTTGTCAGCCTCACACGCCAGCCAGCCACCCACTACCCCCACAAAGATTCATGGTACTCATTTCTGTTGGAGGCTGAGTCAACCCTAGGGCTTTAATGCAGCTGGAAGGATTTGGTCAATTGAAAAAATCCAATAACATCAGGAATCAAACCCATGACTTTCTGGCTTGTAGCATAGGGACTCAACTGACTATGCTACTCCTTGCCCCTGTGATTCCATTTTACATTGTACATGTAAAAATAAAATATATGACTACACAGTGTGTTATAGAACAACAGGTTCACATGTATAATAAATTAATATTATGACCAATGAGATGAGCAAAATAACAAAGGAAGTATTTAAAAAATGAGAATGTTACACTGCAATGGTTTTGTTCTTGTTACTGTGTTTAAATAAGGAAGAGTAAACGAAAGACATTTTTAGACGTGGCTACAAACATGATTGTTATCTACCTCCACTCAGGCCACCACATAAGACGGGGTATTGCACTGTCAATGCCATCTGGAGGCAGAGCTGAGTCTTTCCACTGCTGCTCTCTCCAGCAATTTCAGTGATTCCTTGGACTGCAACCCCTCCTTTTAAAAACCCATCCAGTTTACTGCAACCAACTGATAAACGTTGCCATCTTTTTCTGAAAGTGCAAACTGCATCTGCAACTGTTTCAAGAAAACATTATCTGGTAGCAGCACCCAAAGGTTCACCACTGAAAATACCAAAACATACTATCTACCATGATCCTGAAACAGTTCTGTTGACCTTCTACCATCATAACCTGCTTCTGTAAAATTAATCTAAATATTACCCTCACACCTTAACACATTGAGTTAATGTTTTCTCAAAAAAATTCAGTATTCATTTCATGTTTCCTCCATCTCAACCATGTGCTCCGACTACTATAGCCTCCTACATTTCACTAGCCTAATGCTTCTGTGTGACCTGTCAAAATCACAAAGTTCCTCAATATGTAACATCTTAAATTGCTCATGTTCTTAACCCTCTTTGGGTCCACATATTTCCCTAGGCATTTTGTCTTCAAACACCTGTAGTTTATTTGTTTCTCTTAAAATAAGTAAGATACGACATTCATGACCATAAAAGACAACAGTGAGAGATATGAAGAGTACTGTCTTCTGGGGTTTAACACCATGTAGTCCACTGAAAGTCAGCTGATGTTTTGGAGGTACATATCACCTCCATCTTCAAGGTCAGAGAATAAGGCGAGCAAGTTACCAGCATGAAAGCAGAACCTACCCTGAAGAGAGGCAATATATTCCTCTTCAATTCAATTCATTTATTTCATTTCCATAAATCCATACAGAAACAAGTTCCATGAGATGTGGAAATAGTCAAATTTGAATCTTAACATAGATAAAATAAAAACATAGAAAAACAAATTATAGAAATAAATTCAAGAATACATAAATTAATATAATTACATTTCAAAATAACAATTAGTATATAGTAAGCAATCATATTTCTGACAAGGCCCTTTATATATATTGTTATGTTAACTGTAATAATAAGTGAACAATTAATAATTACTTTAGCAAAATAAAATCATCTATTAAAAAATTCATCAAGTGTGTAGAAGGAATTATTACTCAAAAAGTCCTTCAATTTGACTTTAAATTGATTAGGTATGGAAGCAATTTCTTTAAGATTATAAGGGAGTGCATTAAAGACCTTCACCGCCTGTGAGACATGCCCCTACCATATACAACCAGATTCACCTGGTTCATATGTAGATCCATTCTCCATCTAGTTAATAAATCATGATAGTCATTGTTTAGAGCAAACTTGTCTCTATTTTTAACAACGAACATCATCAGTAAGTATACATATTGAGCTCTTAAAGGGAGTACATTTAATTCCCTGAATCTATTTCTACACGACTGTTTATATCCACAACCAACCAGCGGCTGGCTTTCAGCGGACTATACAGCGTTATATCCCAGCAGACAGTACTCTTCATAACCTTCAAATCCTAAATGACAACAACTATGACTGGATCACAATACAGGCCGCTCAAATGGCATATACTAACAAGGTAAAGATATCCCTGTGCTTAACTAATTAAGCACTACGCCATGAAAACGTATGGGGGAGTTGAAGCATAGATCCACACTTTCTTGACCTTGGCACAAGTTGGAGACGAGTGGTCAGCTTCATGGCCCAGCCGCTTTACCCCGGTACCCATTGGATATGAGGCTGGAGGGGCCCCAGAGCCGGTCTGGATGACATGGAGAAGAAAAAATTCTTGAAAGAACTTGAAATCTGACCACTCAGTTGTCCAACCCATAGCCAGTCGCTATACCATCTGCACAATCCCGGGTCATCCAACTGGCAGGACTATGTCTTTGTAACTATTATAACTACACCATTTTGCCTGACTTTCATGTGACAATGCTGTTAATAAACTGCAGCATTTAAAATCGGCAGATCTTCTTTTCAGGTCATTAGGCAACATTTATGACAATATATTTGGTAGAATTACACTGCACGCTAAAATATGATTCACTTGATTTTAAATCTTACCAGGAATGAATCCAAAAGGCAATGCTGATTTTGCAACATTTGTCCTAACAAACTGGCATTCTTCTTTGGTTAGGTTTCCTAGCTTCCGCAATTCATGATTAGAAGACGTTAGAACTGAATCTGCTGAAACCAAACCCGNATTAATATATGAGTATTTAACAAACATATGATAGTTAAGATGCTGCGAAAGTTCCACTCCAGAAAGTCTTTCCACATAATCGGTAACACTTAACACATCTTTCACATTTTTCACGCTACAATGTCGCCAAGGTCGCCAACATCCGAACATCCTATTTTGGTGTGACAGTTGGCAGGTTGGCAGAGACTGTAGCTCAGTAGCTCAGTGCGGTCCAGTGGCTTTAGTGTGTATTGGTGTGTACAGTAGTAGTATGTAGTGAAGAGCAATGTTAATTCTTTAATCCTATACATCTTCCTGTATGTGCCGCCTTTGTTTCAATTAAGAAAATTTAGTCTTAATCGCATCCAACTTACAGCTGGGCTGAATGCATAGGTTTGTGATTCACTTTGTTGGTATCTTCTGCATCAACTGGATATCAAAAGCTCCATAATCTTAGGAGTGATTATGCATATAGAACATAAAGATGACATTATTTTTAATTAATCATACTGTAGAACACAATTAAGTCGGTCATAAACTACTGTGACATGGTGGCTGAAAGCCAGAACTGTGGAGCGAGAAGAAACATCCATTGCTAGGCTATAGCAACCTAAAGAGCCGGGCATTGCTAAGAAATGGCTCTGCAACTCGTTTCCGCGGCCACAGAGGCTGACGCAACAATGGAGGAATTGTTGTACGCGGTGTTTTTGCGTGGTCCACACCGAGGCTGTACGAGGATCGCGGCCGTGTGGAGGCGGGTGAATACGTGTACATAAGGGGTTCAATTGAAAAAAAAAACACTGTCGTGATCCTATGATTGGCTGTAAATCGCCAGTCGTAAAGTAACTCTGACCCTAGTGGAGGAGGGTTTGAATACCTCCACCGTAGGCCAAACCTGCGAGTGTTACGGGGCGACGAAAAGGGAACCTGGCCCTCCAGGTTGGGGGATTCTGGAATATGAGACAGCGAAATATGGCCTTAAGTCCCGTTGGACTCGGACCCGAGAATTACTGCGCTGGTGAGGGCCAGCAGCAATTGTAAATAATAGGCCAGTCATCTCGTCGGAGATGGCCCCCCCCATGAACAAACCAGCAGCTGCCTGACAGTAATAGAAATCTGTTTTGGGACCCTAGATGGGTCTTGACACCAACGTAGGCTGGCAGACTGACCGTTGGTCGTAACATGACTTTGACCTGAGAACCAAGAAGAAATGAAGGCGTGTCAAGATAAAATAGAGGTAGCTATGAAGAGCGGCCAAGAAAAGATGGAGGCCGCAATACACTCCATCCGGTTGGAGCTATAAGACCATCAAACATCGGATGGGAAACGTCGTGGCGTGTTGACCAAAAGACACAGGAACATAACGAGAAGACCGATGAACCGCAGGTGGACTTACAGGCAGTAAATACGTCCCTCGATATGTGGACGAAGAACCTCCTATAAACCATAGCGGACACAACGATGGCCTTCATGAAGAGCTCGGCCTCAGGATCCACAATGAGACGAGACAAGGCCCTGGTATAGGCCGCAAGGCGTGGACTCGAGACCAAGACAGCAGAAACCACGGACGATTTCGCCCAGCGACTTTAGTTCACAAGGCGCGAGTTCAAAACACAGCCCTGAAAGAATACTAAGCTTGGGCCGCCGCGTGACAAGCGAACACTCCCAATCTTGTGGAGGAACAGGAACAAACGTAGGCGTGACGCAGCCGCCTCAATTCGATGGTTGTCTGGTAACGGCTTCCAACACCGTAGCTTCCTCAGCTTCTGCGTTCACGTCCTTACTGGTCAGCAACTCTCTCACAACTAACTCAGTGTTGTTATGCAACGACTTAAATGGGGCCTTCTCCGCCTCCCACACCTCCTTGGGCAACCGTCTGTGACAACCTCCATGTCCATGTCCTAACTGCTTACTGCAGACTCTTGACTGACTGGCTTGTTCCATTGGTCTCGTGATGTAGTAGCCTCGGGAGGGACCCAACAGAAAACGCCGCTTCCCAAAATTCCTCTACTGTTGCATGATGCCACTATCGACACAAACACACAGAACACCATTCCTAGCAGTATGCCCATTCGTTACATTGCATGGTGTATTCCATTGTTACTGTTTATTGTACCATAACCTAGCAATGGACATCTCTCCTGAAGAAAGCAGTCTTCTGGGATTTGGCACCGTGTATATGTGGTGTTAACCGACGTTTCGGAGGAACGTATCGCCTCCATCTTCAGTCTGCTTTTACCGTTCTCACGGCCTTGTCGCTTGCAGATTTCTTATACTTTTTCTTCTACCCTGAAGATGGAGGCGATACGTTCCTCCGAAACGTCGGTTAACACCACATATACACGGTGCCAAATCCCAGAAGACTGCTTTCTTCATAGTCACCATCGTGAAAGCCTCAAATCTGACATCTCTCCTGATTAAACTATTCTGGTTTTCAGTGAACATGCCACAATACTGCGTTTTGACACACATTTCCAAATTATGACATGTTTAATTGTACAATTGTTTCTTCAGAACAATAATGTTCATAAAGAATTACATATATATGCTTTATATTACATGTTGTATGAGAAATTTTCAGAATAAGGAATTTCATACAGCAACTGCCACTATTCCAAAACCTCATCTGATGATTCAGGTGCCAAGAGAATTGGGCTTCAGTGCCTAACTAATAAAAATAAACTTCTCTACACCATAAAATAACTGACACATTTACATCTGAGAGCCTTTATTGTATCACTGTACAGAATATATATTATATAAAAACATTCTGGTTAAGATTTGTTGCTGCATTTCTGCTGTGCACATCCACACACACCACCCTGAACACAACACTGTTTATTGTACCATTTAATGAAACTATTAATATATTTTTTTCATATATAATGAAAGTGAATTTCTTCTTTGATTGGTTTATGCCATCTAGCTATTGCATTTTACCCTTACATACAGCTTTGAAAAATTAGATCTGACTGGTCCCTTTGGATGATGACCCCCCCCCCCTTTTTCTTTAACAGTGAGTTTCAACAGCCTAAGGAGGAATGGTGGAATATTACAATCCAGTGATATTTTATTCAACTTTCTGGGTTTTTAGATGTTAAGAAAACCTAAGTTTAAAGTTTCCATTAGTGGCAAGGTCTTGATATTAATATATATGAAAGGCAGTAATATTCATTACAAGCAAGCTTCATATTCCACCAAGTATTACTTTAAATTGTAATTAATACAGAAACTACAACAAAAATAGTGCTGTTCAAAATAATAAAAGGGTAGGTTGTTTCGTTGTTAAAAGTCCAAACTGCACATAATTCATGTCTTACGATAAACAAGACTACTGGCATTTACAAAGAAGACAATTATGCAGGCATGTAACAACTAGCTTAATATATCCTGCTCTGTATGAACATATGGGCTTCACAAATCCTTTCATCACATTTTGGCTTTTAAATAAAAAAATTGTCAGAACAGATGAAAGTACTGCAAGATATTTTTACTGTGAAGTTAATAAGTTCACCAGCCAGCATCTTACACTGCCACATTTCAGCAAGGCTGACAAAGCATAATGAAGCTGGTGTTCTGGTACGTGAAGCCACGTAGTTTGATCGATATATGTCAGAGTTTTGATGGAAACTGCTGCCTCCATCTTCACAATGGAAAGCATGGTATGGATCTGGGGCAAAAACCAGGAGTAGGGCTATGATCATACCAAGAGAAGTAAAGAGAACAGTGGGAATATTTGGCTATTTGAGGGGTCTGAGGGCAGAGTGACTGGGAGAAATAATGACTGGATGTATTATGATATAAAATTTAGTTAGGTGCCATGCCAGAGTCCAGGCTCTTAGACACTGGCTTCTCACCAAGCCTCAGATTCAGTCCCAACTGGCTTCACATGCGATTTATGGCGAAAAGTAGCACTGGGGCAAGTTCCTTAGGGTTTCCCCTGCTAATCATCATTGCAGCATTGCTCCATACCCATCTATCACAGCCCTGACCAGGCAGAACACTGTCATGTCCCCTGCCTTTAAGTGGAGGCTTCATCTCTGGCACAGCTCTTGACTAGTCACAAAATAAGGAAGTTAGTTTTATTATACAAAATTTAGTTATTCAATGTTTCCACAGCTCCAGAATATTTGGCACTGGATCCCTTCTTCATTGAGCTCAATCCAATTTACATCACAATTTATTTTAGCTCAACGTCCAATTTCTGTCCTATTATAATGAATTTAGATGTGGAAAAATGTTAAACCACCATTTCCCCTGTATTACAATTAAATGTTAATTGCCAATTTGTAAAACAGATAAAATATGTCTGAAATGCAACTGTATGCTACAAGAAGTTTCCAGCTGTAATGGTTTCTAATCACCTGGGATTTATAAATGACAGAAGTAGCCATTCTTCACACAGCATATGCTGAAGAACACTGTCTTCTGAGTTGTGATGCCATGCAGTTTGGTAGATATGTACTAATATTTGGGAGAAATCAGCTGCCTCCATCTTCAGGGTAGAAGACTGAGGCAGCAGGTTCCTTCGGAATGTACGTATGTAGCTGCCAAATTACATGGCATTACATCCCCCGCCCCCCAAGGTTAATTTTCAGTCACTGTCAGAAAACCTCAAATTTCATCCACAATATGGTCAATATCATAACATGTGCAGTAAAAGCTGAAATACATAGCACTGGAAGATCCAGAAAGTCCAATTAACCAGGAACTGACTAATTGTGAATATGATGATTAAAATAGTCAAATATTTTGTTTTTTTTTCTGCTGCTGGGTTTTTTTTTTGTGGGGAGGGCTATATACACCTACACCATGTTATGTAAGTGTGGGACAGAAAACAGGACAGAATATCAAATGACAAATTAAATGATTAGGTCTGTCTGTGAGGTTGCTAGGTACATTAAGATACACATTGGGTTAACATTCTAATATCCAGAATATTATGATAAATGACAACCTTTTGGTCCCGGATACTGCTTCTTTTACTATAATAGCCAAAACTTTAAGGAAGGAATAGTGATCCAATTAAGAAATTAAAATTTACTTATGTAATTTAAAAAAAGAGATCTGAGGCACTCAAGATGGTGAATAGAGATTACCATCATCTGGGATGTGACACTCCATAATCTGGTAGCTATTTACCACTGTTTAAGAGGAATATGCTGTCTCCATCTTCAAAGTAGAATCATCCAAAACACTGACAAATCTCTACCAGACCACATGTCATCACAATCCAGAGGATGTTAATCTCTGGCAGAGGGGCCTAAGATTGGGAATGACGGCTCAAATCACATCCATAAATTAAAATGCAGTACTTAAACATCATGTCAGCAGCCATGGCGGCCATGGCTACGATACATATTAGCAAGAATGTGAGGTTAATTTCATATCTTTGGTAGGTCTGTAGCAGGGAACAGGAAACACAGCAGTTACCACACACTTCAAATAATCTTCAGGGTCAACAAAATGTCTGACAAAAGTCTTGGACATATCTGTACGTTTTCAAGTCTGTTCCTATTCGGAATTTGTTTTACAGTGAACACACTGAGTTCAATTAAATACTCAACACTGATGAAATCCACAAAATGGAGAAATATTATGAACAAAGTGTTTCATAATGTATCAGAAGTAGCAAGGAAAGTTGTACACCAAGTTGTGCATAAGAGCAATACAAATCTTTCTTTCTAGAGCTGCCTTTCAAACAGAAAGCTAGGTTTGACACCCCCCTGACAACTGATGTCATCACCTACACAAATAGTTCTTATCAACGGTGAAAGAACAATTAACATTTCAGAGTTTTAAAATAAACATATTTATAAATGATACTTTTATCTAACAGCACATAAAAAATGTCAGACTCAGATATATACATATACAACGTTCTTAAAAATGAAAAAGTATCGTAACATGGTTTCCTTTCCATGCAAGGCTCAAAAGTTACATAATCGTCACTCATCATTTAAGTACAACACTATGCATAAGATCTGGCTGGAAGGGTTTACACTAGACAATATGCACTACTGCATCAATTAAGACTTAAAATTATGATTTTCTCTAATTCATGCATAAAAAATGCATATCTGATTCAAGATGGACCATAGGAAAAGAAATTCAACTATTTTTATAACAAATACAGAAGGGAACCAAAGCTTAAGCTATGGAAAAAATACTGTCATCAGCAAAAGGCAGTCAATCATCATGTACACAATGAAGGTAAAAACAAATAATTAAAGATACTCTGAAAATTTATGGCAACACATGTATACAGACACAAACATACATACAAACGAAGCATATTTACATGAATATGTTTAGTTGGCACTTGGCAAAAATTCTTTCACATCTGTAGGGGAAGATCATAATCTCAAGCCTTAATTTTATGTCATACATAAGTATCTTGGTGTATAGCGTTTTACAGTAACCTTGACATAAGATGTGTATACATTTTGTATAAAATGACTCCAAAATGGGCAAGTATTAATTCAAGCCAGTGTTACGTGGCCCCAGCACTGTCAGCTTCTGCTGTTCAACTAACCGACTACACACAGCACAGCCCTTGTTGAGAAGGTAAGACACTCAGTCGAGAAATTCCCTACCTTTCATGGAACCTAAACGTTCATATTGTGTCTATAAAAGCTTTCAGGAAAATATGACCTTTTCAAATGTACACTTTTTGTCCCATTTTTACCATACTTCTACACATTTAAAAACAGATCAAAATTATATCAATGATAGAACTATCTTGATTAAATTCAGGAAATACTTGCTACCATTCAGTTCCAGATCTATCTCCCTGTCTACTACCTAGAAACTAAAAGATTCATATGTACAAATTATAATTTTAGCCATTGGTTTACATGTGCATGAAACTCAGTCTCTTATATTAACAGCAAAGTACCAATCTGAGGGGTTTTCATGAGAAAAGTGCTAAAAGAATATATGGACCTATGAGAAAATAAAACTGCATAATGAGATTGAAAGAATATGCAACAATCATTTGCAAGATACAGTTCTACCATATTCAACATTCAGCAAGTTACTGAAGATCAAACATTCCATGGAAATGTGCCCTAAAACACTCCTCTTGATCTATGTGTGATAGGCTTAAAGTGACATGTTTAACATCTGTTGAAGAGTTCAGCATATAAACCAAAGAATTTCAAACCACTTTATGAATGTCTAAAGGTCTGTGAAAAGAATTCTGTTAATAAACTGATACATATGTTGGACATTTTCTGTTGTCTAAGATTTGGTAAAAAAAAACATGTTTTGGAAGCAGAGTGAGCTCATGAAGCACGGCATTTTTATTAACCAAAAACAAGCCAATGGAAACTTGCCAGCACACGTCAGTTCACATTTATGTAGATTTTCTTCACTTTTAAAAGCACATATATTATTTCCCAAGTGAAATGATAGAAATTAATATACCAGTTACATTTAACACAGAATTTCATGCCATGAAAGCAGGCTTATAAAATGACTTTCATACAGTAAGTCTTTGTCAAGGTTACTTATAAACACCACTGAATGAAAGGAAATGCACGTCAGAACCTTACCCTCATATTTCCAAACCCTATCTTGACACATATATAAACACAATATTGAGTAAAGGGACCCACAACCTTCCTTTCACCCAACTTAAATTATAACAATAAAATGAGTACAATTATAAAATAATACAATATCCATGCAAGAACATGAGTAACATTCTCAGTTCTGAAAACAACCTTGCATGTCTCTGATACATGAGACAATTTTAAGTAAATTAACCATAGTCATGATATGGGAGCAGGCAGCTGTCCATGTATGGTTACAACACTATCGAAAGTGAAATCATTTGTACAGAGAAACACATTTCTCCTTGTGTGCAGGCATTAACAGCTCTCAGGCAAGATATATCATATTTTAGTACATTTTACAGTATGTGAACTCATGGTGATGGTACGAAGGTCCTTCTGAAAGTGTCGCAACAAGCATGATTCAAACCACTTAAAAGTACTTCAATATTTATAAAAATTGTTGCCTTCTGTGACATGATGCTATGTAGTCATTGCAGATAGTTACCAACATTCTTGAGGAACATTTATCTCCATCTTAAGGGTAAGGAGTAAGCCAAGCATAGAAAGCAGGTACAAATGGTGGGAGAGGGATGACGACCATGGCCTTTCACTGTCCTCCCTTTTCCTGACACCATGTCATTATTTCCATGCTCAGCTTTCTCTTCTACCTTAAACACAGAAGCAGCAGGTTCTTCCAAAATGTTGGTATGCATCTACCAGATTATAAAAAGTTACATCCCAGAAGACTATAATAAGCTTTATAATTTCCAAAGAAAAATTCATTTTTATGTATGAAACAATTTTGAAGCACCAGGTCCATCTTATAGGAACCGGGATAGCGTTGTTGGTATAGTGACCAGCTATGGGCTGGACAACCAAGGGATTGGAGTTTGAGTCCCAGTAGGGTCAAGAATTTTCTCTTCTCCACCTTGTCCAGACTGGCTGCGGGATCCATCCAACTTCATATCCAATGGGTATGGGGGGCAGCCAGGGCATGAAGCTGACCACTCACCTCAAGAAAATGTGGATCTATACATCCACTCCCACATATGCCATGGTGTACTGCTTAATCAGTTAAGCACAGGGACAACTTTACCTTTTAGGTCCACTTTATAAAATGAGGTGCCAGTATATTGTCGCGTATCGGGCGTATAACGCGACAAATAAATTCTCGATGTATTCGATGTAGCGAATTTTATTTCACATTCGCTCATACAATCACCCAAATTACAGATTCACGATTACTGCTATCTGCAGTATCACAAATAGTACACTCCAAATGCCACAGTACAACTGACTGGCTGACTTTCTCGACGATAGGTCCAGGACTCGCTGACTGACTCAGTACAACTCAGTACAACTGACTGTGAATAGCCTTCGCTGCGCCTCATGTAGCCTCGATCGGACCATACAGAAAACGGCCGCGTAATAGGCACCCTCTTTGCCTGGCGCTGTGTTGCTATGTAACGCTAGCGGAGGTAACCGCTGTTACTATCGTAACGTCGCCGCTGTTGACTCGCGTTGCCTAGCGACCGCGATATCCCTCGGCGA